GGTGCGTTGTGCATGGTGGAGGACGGCTGGGACCAGTTGGGGTGGGGGGAAGGCGAAGTTGTTTTCGGCTGTCCATGCGATCGAGAACGCATCAACTGCGATGGCTTCCGGGTGGGGGATCTTGGTGCAAAAGCGCGAGAGTTGGGTGTTGTGAGAGTTTGCAAAGAGGTCGATGGAATGCGGACCCCAACGACGTTCTAAGATGCGAAACCACGGCTTCTTCAACGCGTAGTCGTCGTGGTCGACCATTTTTGAAAGCTCGTCAGCATGTGAGTTGAGCTCTCGCGGGATCCATTCAATGATCAAGCGCGTGCCGAGCCCCATGCATGTTCGGATGATGCTTTTGCAAGCCATTGTGAGGTCAGAGTTGTGAGAGCCGCCTTTGCGAAGGATGAAGAATACGCCCTGGTTGTCCACCCGCACGAGAACGTGTTTTTGCTTGATCTTGTTGGCGTACGTTTGGAGCGCCCAAAGGACGCCTTCGATCTCTCGCCGCGTGCTGGACGTTGCCTGTAGTGGCTCTGACATGGTTGCGCTCGCTTCTTCGAGGCCACCCGGAAATGTAGTTAGAGTGGCGCCCCAACCATGAGAGCTGGCATCCACATGAATTACCGCATCGTAGCTGTTCCGGACGTGGAAAGGTGCACCGTTGAACCGGTCGAACTCCTCAAGCCAAAAGTGTAGCTCCTCTGCTGCGGCTGGGGGGATGACCACGTTGCTTTTCCATGACGGTGCGTCGTTGATTACTTGTAACATGGCGTGGCTGAATGCGCGAGCGGTCGCGCCAAGTGCGACCCCCATTGATGCGAGCATGCCTGTGATTCTGGCCACGTGGCGGACCGGGACTGGTCGGCATGCCTTGCTTGCGCTCAGGAGGTTTTGGATGGTTGCATGTAGTGAGGCTCGTCGGTCGGGACCGATGGAGAATCGACCGGTATCGGTTTCCAGCTCTACACCCAAAAATCGTAGGCGTTGCGATGGTGACAGCTGTGATTTCTTCGCGTTTATCACGAGTCCTGCCTCTTTAAGGTCCAATATCACACGCTGGTAGATCGCTTGCGCATGGTCTTTCGACTGACAGAGGAATAAGATGTCGTCCACGTAAGGGATGACTCGGATGCCTTGTTCTCGCCAGCGCCGAGCCAGTTGCTTGATGAGCTGCGTGAAGACGAATGGAGCTGTCGCGAGGCCAAATGGCAGTGAACGAAATGCGTACGTGCGCCTCCCAAATTCGAAGCCGAGGAACTTCCAGCATGATGGGTGGATGTCGATGTGGTGGTAACCGGATTTAAGGTCAATGGAGAACATCCAATCCCCAACGCGTGCCAGGTCCGCCACGCGGTTGAGCCCCTCGTACTTGAACTTGGGGACGATTAAGCTTGCGTTGACTTTCCGCAGATCAAGAATGAGTCTGCATTTGTCTTTTTGCTCGACCACATTGAGTGGACTTATACACGCCAGCTCCGTTGCGGGCATCTGGACTGCTGCTCCGGTCTCTAGGAGTTCTTGGATAGCGGTACGCGTGAACGTAGCATGCGTGTTTGCCCCGACATGGTTGCGATCGTGGAAGGGTTGTGGTGGGCCGTGGCTCCATGGTAGCCAATAACCCCTGGCGATGACGGAAAGGACGAGGCTGCAGGGACACCAGGAGCTCCACCACGCAAAGGTCGCACGAAGTCGACCGCGCATTTGTGTAATGGTTTTGTCCGTGACGGCAAATTCATACGGATCGTCGTAACATACCGCCTCGCACTGTCGTGCTCCTGTAATTGAGGCAAATGGGGTAGGGTTGGGAGTTCCATTTGACGCATGCATGTGCGTGTGCATGTACGCGCAATCGTTGATCAATGGTGTGAATGAGATTGCCTATCTATCGAAAGGACAACAAATATGTCGTGCGCGCGCCGACGCTTCTTCTTCTTCTTCTTCTTCTTGGTTTTTTTTTTTTTTTTTTTTTTTTTTTTTTTTTTTTTTTTTGCTCCATGGGCACCCTGATCATGGTAGGCAAGTAGGTGTCACTCTCTGGACCCCCTCCTCTTTTTTTTTTTTTTTTTTTTTTTTTTTTTGTCTCATCTAGCACCGTGGCTAGCCCTTTTTCCGATACATCACATCGCGCTTTTTTTTTTTTTTTTTTTTTGCTCGCCTTGTCATCCACTTGGTAAGACGTGGTTGTGCATGCCTTTAGTGCATGTGGGCTGGTGCTTTGAACCATGGACATGCGTGTCCACCGTGCTTTGTCTTGTTATCTCTCTCTCTCTCTCTCTCTCTCTCTCTCTCTCTCTCTCTCTCTCTCTCTCTTCCTCTCTCTCTCTCATGCTCTGCACCTCCTCTGTGTGTCTAGAGGCTCTTTGCAAAATAGTAAATCAAGGAACTTCTTATTAAATCAACCAACACACATTGCAATGCTTCCTAGCATTCATCACCCCACCGGGTGGCCAAATACATGGGACCGAGGGGTTGTTGTTCCCCTTCCCTATCCTAGGCCCAAAGCCTATTACTACCCTTCACTAGGGCTGGCCTCTTGCCATCGCAAACCCCTAGGGCTGCCCACGGTTTTCGCACTCAAGAGTGCACCGTGCCTAGCGCCCAAGGCGCCTAATCCCTTGGCCCGCTCCTACACCACCGGAGCGGGTCCTTGGCCGCCATGCCCGTTCCTAGGGCAGGCACTTGCCACATGTCCCGGCTGGCCGCAGCGGAAGCACGAGCCCCGAAACCCACGACAATTGGCCGTGGGCGGGGGGGCCCGCTTGGGTAAGAACGGCATCGGCCCGTTGTTTCCGCCGCGGGTGACACGAGCGTATGCACTTGCCGCGCGGTCCATTGCAGCCATATCCGCGACCGCCTGCTTGAAGGGTCGAGAGGTCAGCAGGCTCTTCTGCTGGTACAGTTTGAAGCGTTTCGCCGTGCGGAAGTCGGAAGCGTCCTCCAGTTGAAGCACCTCGAAACGCCCCGAGATGAGGTTGAGCGCGTGTGAGATGAGTTCGAGTCCGCCCGCCGAGTTGCCTCGCTGCGCCTTGTATTCCGCGTGCAGCAGTTACGCACGCAAGTCCTCCAGCAGCTCCGCTTGCTCTCGCACGGAGTCGTTGACGAAAGTCGCCGCCGAAAAGGTGAGGTTAGAAGAAGGAAGGGGGGGGAGGTTTTCCGTGCCAATAAAATTAGCAGTGTTGACTGGAGCCTCACCAGCTTCATCTTCAGAGTCGTCGGTGTCGTTGTCGACCGCCGGAGCAGGGGGAGCGGCCGTCGCTGCGTCGTTGTCATGCCGGTTCGTACGTGCTCCTCGCGTGCCTTTTTCCTTTTTCGCGTTTTCTTTTTTAGCCGACGCAGATGCAGCGGGTAGTGCAGTTTCCGCAGCTGTAACGCTGACGGGCTGCTGCTGTAGAAGGGATAGCAGCGCGTTGACCTGGTCCGGGGTCAACGCCTGCGTCAGTGCAGGGGCGGTCGTCGCGTCAGACGAGGAGACCGCAGTCCGCCTCCTCTGGCGCTGACGCGACGGTCCAGCCGCGGGTGCTGGCGTGTGCTCGGCGTCAGGTGCGTGTGCCGCGCCAGCTGCCGTCGCCACTTGCGCCGCAGGTGCCACAGGCGCCACTGGCGCCACTGGCGCCACAGGGGCCGAAGGGTGCTGCTGGGCGTCGGCACTTTTGTTGACCTCGAGCCCGCCCAGCAGCACGTCCACTGCAGTCGGGGCGGGCGGTCCATCTTCTGCCCGGCGCTTGTTACGGCGGTCGCCCGCAAAATCGCGGGTGTTACGGTCAGAGTCGGAAGCGGGGTTGGACGAGTTCCCGTTGTTAAGTGTCGTCGTCGGTGCCATCGTTGATCGATTGAAGTTAAAAATGTCGCTAAGTAAAGTCGAGGGTGACTCGCCTCTAGGAAGCGATTTTGTTCTAGCCAGCTTGGAAGGAGAGAAAGACTACGTGAGCGGAAATGTTGAGTGAGCCGTTTGAAATAGAGAAACGTGGGTGGAGGGAAATGAGCTCCAACCCACGGTTTTTGTAGTTGGAGAAGGGCGTTTAGCGCGCTTCGACGATGCCAATTGTGCAGTACAAGCAGCTTCGCTTTCACAATACACAATTTTAAAAAACACAATGTGTGTTTAAAAATTATAATTTCAAGCGATATGATCATTCACCCGATCTGGTTGTTGTCACGTACAGTGCCAGGTGGGCCAAGTGCCACGCAGCTGAGCTGGCAGCAGGCAGAAACTGTTGGTTGGCGTGGCGTGTGTGAGCATCTGGCAGTGCCGCACGAAACTTTCACTACGAATCAGGAGCTTCGCAATTTCACAGCAGTGCATGCTGCAGATTTTTTTACAAAGAATCAGCATCAAAATCGCCAATTCTTTAAAATACATTAGCGATAACTTACATGTGACGAGATTTTGTCTACGAAATCTCGTAATCACGCAACCATTTTCTTAGTGTAACTGGGAGATATTCTCGACGAACGAGTGTATTCGGATGTCCCAGCTGTTGAAGCGTGCGTTGCTCACGTCCTGGCACTCCACTGCCATCTCGGAAGTGGGCATATCGAAACGAAACTTCCAGGAAACTTCGTTTCGATAAGCTCGCAGAGTGCACCCCCGACACAAGTCTGAGGCTCAGCCTACACCCCTAAAAATTGGCTGAAATTTCAGCGGTTACAATAAAAAAACTCTGAAAAATCAGAGAAGGTACATAAAAAAAAACTTACAGTTCAGACCAGGTACCAAAAAAAAGTCTGAATGGACGCTGAATCAGCGTAAAAAGTCTGATATCTAGGGCACTGACGTAGTGCCATTTGGGTGGTTATGGCTTGTGTCAAGGAGTAGAGCGTGAGCAGCATGCTCGTTAATCTGCTCACACAAACATGACGGCTTAACAAGTTTAATAGTTACAAACAATCCCCGTACAACAATGCATCTGTCAGAATAGATTGCCCAACAATACCCATAGCAACAGCAATGCTTTCGTTTACTTTCGATAGATTCGTTCTTGTTACCCATTTGCACTACTGCACTTGCCAAAATGGTGATAACCCAGAATTGTATCCAAACCATACCAAGGTACAATGTGTTGAAATCTCAAGGGAACTGCATCTCAAATGTTGTACATGGACTAAACAGAACTGATGGTTTTATTCAACAGGCTACTAATGTAACCTACTTGGCACACCATCATCTGCAACAACATCATTAGGATGCCTCCACTTGGCACAACACCATCTATAAAGCGACCAGCTGCTTCATATCATCACCCTTTGCAGGGTTCAGCGACCGGCAACCTCATTGACACCTTCTTCCCCCCTCCTCTGCTGCTCTCTTCTTCCCCCCTCCTCTGCTGCTTTCTCTTCTTCCCCCCTCCTCTGCTGCTTTCTCTTCTTCCCCCCTCCTCTGCTGCTTTCTCTTCTTCCCCCCTCCTCTGCTGCTTTCTCTTCTTCCCCCCACCTCTGCTGCTTTCTCTTCTTCCCCCCTCCTCTGCTGCTTTCTCTTCTTCCCCCCTCCTCTGCTTCTTCCCCCCTTCTCTGCTTCTTCCCCCCTTCTCTGCTTCTTCCCCCCTTCTCTGCTTCTTCCCCCCTTCTCTGCTTCTTCCCCCCTTCTCTGCTTCTTCCCCCCTTCTCTGCTTCTTCCCCCCTCTTCTCTGCTTCTTCCCCCCTTCTCTGCTTCTTCCCCCCTTCTCTGCTTCTTCCCCCCTTCTCTGCTTCTTCCCCCCTTCTCTGCTTCTTCCCCCCTTCTCTGCTTCTTCCCCCCTTCTCTGCTTCTTCCCCCCTTCTCTGCTTCTTCCCCCCTTCTCTGCTTCTTCCCCCCTTCTCTGCTTCTTCCCCCCTTCTCTGCTTCTTCCCCCCTTCTCAGCTTCTTCCCCCCTTCTCAGCTTCTTCCCCCCTTCTCAGATTCTTCCCCCCTTCTCAGATTCTTCCCCCCTTCTCAGATTCTTCCCCCCTTCTCTGCTGCTTCACCCCTTCTCTGCTGCTTCACCCCTTCTCTGCTGCTTCACCCCTTCTTCCTTGGCAGCAGCCCTTAGAAGCCTTGTTAGCAGCACTTTGCAGCCCTTAGCAGCTTCGTTAGCAGCCGTTAGCAGCTTCCTTAACAGCCGTGAGCAGCTTCCTTAACAGCCGTGAGCAGCTTCCTTAACAGCCGTGAGCAGCTTCCTTAACAGCCGTTAGCAACCCTTAGCAGCTTCCTTAGAAGCTATAGCAGCTTCCATAAGCAGCAGTGCAGCTTCCCCACTCCTTCACCCCCTCTTAGCATCACAGTTTGAAGGAAGTTGACTGTTTGGCAAGTAACGTAAGATTCAAGGCACTAAGAGGGAAAGGACCCTCCACACCCACGCCAGTGTGGAAAAATCCGTGACACCAAGTTCTCCTCACCCACGCCAGTGAGGAAAAACTTGTGTTACCCGGGTCACCCCAAGGGAATCGCTACCTGGAGTGTGTGGTACCTTGCGAGCATGATTCTGCTGCAGTCAGAACCATGCAAGTCAAGGCCAGACTCCATCACGATCCCCTTGAAGCTTCCCGGGCAACGTGTGCCACTGCCTCTTGGCCTGAGCATGCACACTCAGTTGCCTTGTCTCTCCACGCCACCCACCATCCCAGTCAACCCCTCGCCACCGCTCTGCCAAAGGTTGTAGCTACTTCGCCCACTCGGTTCCTCCCTTCACAGAATCGCGGCTGATTTAGTGCAGCTGTTTCAGTTAGGTTGATACAGTGCGGCTGCTATCTGCTAAAACTGCTGCGTCGTCGGTGTTGTCCCGCTACAACTGCTGCGTCGTCGGTGTTGTCCCGCTACAACTGCTGCGTCGTCGGTGTTGTCCCGCTACAACTGCTGCGTCGTCGGTGTTGTCCCGCTACAACTGCTGCGTCGTCGATGTTGTCCCGCTACCATTAATCTGCTGCCGAGAAGGGGTTAATCTACCGCCGTGAACGGGTTAATCTGTCGCTGGTAAGGGGTTAATCTGCTACCATTAAGGGGTAAATCTGCTGCCGTGAAGGGGTAAATCTGCTGCCTTGAAGGGGTAAATCTGCTGCCGTGAAGGGGTAAATCTGCTACCGTGAAGGGGTAAATTTGCTGCCGTGAAGGGGTAAATTTGCTGCCTTGAAGGGGTTAATCTGCTGCCGTGAAGGGGTTAATCTGCTGCGTCGTCGGTGTTGTCCTGCTACAACTGTTGCGTCGTCGGTGTTGTCCTGCTACAACTGTTGCGTCGTCGGTGTTGTCCTGCTACAACTGCTGCGTCGTCGGTGTTGTCCTGCTACATCTGCTGCGTCGTCGGTGTTGTCCTGCTACAACTGCTGCGTCGTCGGTGTTGTCCTGCTACAACTGCTGCGTCGTCGGTGTTGTCCTGCTACAACTGCTGCGTCGTCGGTGTTGTCCTGCTACAACTGCTGCGTCGTCGGTGTTGTCCCGCTACAACTGCTGCGTCGTCGGTGTTGTCCCGCTACAACTGCTGCGTCGTCGGTGTTGTCCCGCTACAACTGCTGCGTCGTCGGTGTTGTCCCGCTACAACTGCTGCGTCGTCGGTGTTGTCCCGCTACAATTGTTGTCCTGCCGTTGAAGACCTTGAAATTACTGCTGCAGTTGAAGACCTTAAAACTGCTGCTGCAGTTGAAGGCCTTGAAACTGCTACAGCCGGAGACCAAGGAGAAGACCCGCACGCCAAGGCGTTGACCCGCACGCCAAGGAGTTGATCAGCGCGCCAAGGAGTTAATCCGCGCGCCAAGGAGTTGATCCGCGCGCCAAGGAGTTGACCCGCACGCCAAGGAGTTGACCCGCGCGCCAAGGAGTTGATCCGCGCGCCAAGGAGTTGATCCGCACGCCAAAGAGTTGATCCGCGCGCCAATGAATTGATCCGCACGCCAAGGAGTTGATCCGCGCGCCAAGGAGTTGATCCGCGCGCCAGGGAGTTGATCCGCGCGCCAAGGAGTTGACCCGCACGCCAAGGAGTTAATCCGCGCGCCAAGGAGTTGACCCACGCGCCAAGGAGTTGATCCGCACGCCAAGGAGTTGATCCGCGCGCCAAGGAGTTGATCCGCACTAAGGGGCTAATCCGCGCGCCAAGGGGCTGATCCGCCTTTAATCTGCACAGATCATAAGAATATAGTTAGTGACTGAAAATGGCATCATAAAAGGAGACGTCTATAAATGAAGAATAACTGGATTTTCAAAATGGCTTCTGAAAAACGTTAAACAAGAACCTCACCAGTGTTTGAGCTGTTGATCCGCCTCTTGAAGTGTAGATCCGCCTCTTAAAGGTCTTGAAAGTGTTTCTTCAAACCCTGGAAAAGACATAAGCACGAAGTCAGTAAAATATACAAACAAGAAGTAAACGAAATGCAAAACAACAAGACGGCGGAAAAACGGTGAACGTCCATAATTCGCTGGCTGCAGTAGCAAAGGGAGGATCTATGCTACCCACCCACTCTATGCTACCCAAAACCCGAGGAGGATCATTTGCTAGATGCAGCCGAGACGAATCAGAGGGACGGTGGAATAACGCGATGTGAAAAACGAGTGAACACATTGGAGGAACTGAACAACGAAACTGAAAGCGATGAAAAATGAAAACGACGAAGGGAAAGACACTTCCCAGTTGTTGCTGAAGGCGAAAACGGGGGGTTGAACGTTGAACGCAGACAGAACGCGGGTTGAACGTTGAACACGGGTAGAAGCTCCATTGACGCTTTGCTGCAGCCCCCGTTCCCTTGTTGCTGGAACACGGGGGGAGGAAACAAAGGCAAAAGCACGAAGTTAGTAAAAATCCATGGAAGATTGAAAACAAAGAAAAACAAACAGGAAAATGCGAAATTCAAAAAACGAAACAAACGACAAAGGAGAACAAAACGTGGCGGGAAACGACGCCCATGATACGTGGACTGCGACTTGCAGAGGGAGGAGACGCGCTATGCTACCCAAACCCGACAGCTATTCTACCCAAGCCCGAGGAGGATCATCTACAAGCCGCAGACGCACGTATCAGAGGGGCGGTGGAGCGGTAAGTGCGATGGAAACGATGCGATGAAAACGGTGAAAAAAAAGCGACAAAACGAGGGGAAGAGAAGGGAAAGGGACTTCCCAGTTTGAGGAGAATCGCGCCACCGTTGCAGATCACGGGTTGAAGGCGAAACAATGCGGCCACCATTGCAGATCACGGGTTGAAGGCTTCAAAAGCCGAAGTCGGAGCTCGTTGTTGGACGACCATCGTTGGTCGTAGGTCATGATGATCTTGAAAGAGCTCAAGTTACTTGATCCTGCAGAAAGTACAACAAAGAGAAGTCAGAAATCCGTTTAACATGAACATTTGAAGGAAATAGCAGTGCAGGTGCAACGAAGAAACCCGTACCTCTGAAGATCGCCCGGTAGGCTGGGCGAGGGGTGGTTCGTTGATGGAGGCGAGTTGAAGGTTGGTTGGTGTTGATGGCGGATGGTGGCGGTGGCGGATCTTCAGGGTTGAACAATTCTCGTGAAGCATTTGCAGCAGCGGAGACAGCGTTGTACAGCAGCGCAAGTCGTAGGCCATGATGATCTTAAATAAGCTTTCAAGTCGTGCCTGTAAAAAGCAACAAGGTTAAGTCAGAATATGGTCCAATATACACATCATATAAACGAAGCCAAGACAAAGTGACATCATAACAAGGCTTACCTCTGGAGTTTGAGAGGTAGGCCGGGCGGGGGGGGCGTGGATGGAAGCGAGATGATGGGTGGCGTCGGGGGCGAATGGTGATGGCGAAAACTCCAGAGTCCTCGAATTGAGAGTTGTTGATACAGCTTGAACTTCTCTTCTTGCCAGACTTGAAAACAGGTCTTGGTGCTGGCTCAAGAATGAACCTGAAAAAGTTACAATGGAAAATAGTCAGAAAACGGTTTCCCAAGGAACAACGAAATACATTTAAAGTAAATCAGAGTGCAAGTGCTGAAAAACGATCACACAAGTTAAGCGCAAGTGCTTGTGCTGAAAATTTGAGTGCAAGTGCTATTCTTACCTTAGGAGATAGGCAGGTAGGTCGGGCGGAGGGCGGGGCGTGGATGGCGCGGCGGGTTGATAGTGGAAGTTGGCGGGGTGGTGGTAGCCCATCTCCCAGGTTGAGCAGTGGGTGGCGGTTGCTTGAAACGGTAGTAGAGCTTCGTGAGCAGCAATTGCTGGCTCAATCTTGTGTCCTTGCTTGAGCAGAGTTCGGTTGGACCATAAGGGCGTTGTGCCTGTAACAAGCAACAAAATTAAGTCAGAATATGGTCCAATATACACATCATATAAACGAAGCCAAGACAAAGTGACATCATAACAAGGCTTACCTCTGGAGTTTGAGAGGTAGGCCGGGCGGGGGGCGGGGACGTGGATGGAAGCGAGATGATGGACGGCGGCGGGGGCGAATGGTGATGGCGAAAACTCCAGAGGCATCCATATGGAAGGATTTGAACGAATATTGTGAGCTAGACTTGAAAATGAGAAGTTTCTGTATTACATAGTTCTTGCCAAACAGACGGAGGTGGTTCACGAGCCAATTGATCTTCTGGATGAGGCAGAAGCTACGTCACGCCGACGGCGTCTAACCGAATTCTGGGGTTAGCCTCCATTTGAGCGGCTCGACACGGCGGGTCGATTTCAGCCGCTCGCGGGTGATTTTGTGTCTGTGCTCTGTGAGGAGATTCCCTCAGCAACCGTGGCTCAAGAGGTGGATGGAGAAGATGTGTGTACAGTGAGCGGCAAATGCAGCCACTTGTGGGTGGTCACCACCACCACTTGTGCCCACGAACCAAAAACCGGAAGCGCGTTTGCTGAAGGATTTATAGGTATGGGTACATCACTCAACGAAATGCGAGGGAAAGCGAGGCTCGGCTGGGAAACTGTCGGCGGAGCTGATTTGTTGACGTCACAACTGAACCCAAGGAAGGAAGCATCCCCATAGAACCCTAGCGGATTGTGCGAAGCTGCCAAGGGACATTTGCCGACCACAACTGAGCGACCAAAAAAAGTCGCTTGCTTTGTTCCGCGCCAAAATCAGGCACGGAAGCAAGATGCTGTAGCGACGCGCTGGCAGGAGCAAGATGCTCCGCTGCACAGATAGGAATCTCCACATCAGCAGCGACCCAATTGTATTCGCCCTTCAGTGCACTGAAATACACGCCGCCAGAGGTAAGTTGCCGTGCTGATGAGAGATGCCCTTGCCACATCAGCAGATTGAAGACACTCCCACCATCACACACTTGTTCTCTACTGTACACTCCCCGAGGCCGGTCACACTAGATTCCTCCATGTCTCACCCGTCAGGTTGGTGTACTGTAGAGATCGGTTCAAAGCGGCAAAGCGAATTGCCCGTTATAAACTGAAGGGTCTTCTTGAATTAGTCAACGAGTTCCTTGTAGTGTACACTGCACGTTCAGTGTGCGTTGACTAAATTACGGGAAGGGTGCACACTGTAGCCCGAAGTACCTTGTACACTGTTCTTCGTCTGCCTAGTAATTCCATTTGGGATTCCCGTTGGGCGCCCAACGAATCCCTCAAATGCTCCCTTCTGCCATATCTGACTGCGTAGGGGTATCGGGCGTGATTTGAATTCGCAATAGGTTGTTGCATATAGCTATGGCGGCAGCTGCGGTGCTAACAGCACCCACGCAGTTCAAAGCGGCTCGAGCCGTGGTGGCGGTAATGGAGGCGTACCGCGACGCGCGCGTGCAGTTCGTCATGAAAGTCGGCGAACTCGCCGTCTCGCCTCAGGTGCGCCTTAGTCTCAACTTCTCGATACGGGAGCATGCTTCCGCGAATCCCGTGAGATGTCGTCAGGAAAAGAATTCAAATCCTTTTTCGTATGCGCCGGCTCGTCGATACGGGAGCATGCTCCCGCGAATCCCCTGAGATGTCATCCGGGAAAGAGTTCATTTTTTTTTTCGTATTCGACGGCTCGTCGATACGGGAGCATGCTCCCGCGAATCCCGTGGGATGTCATCAGATCCCGCGAACCCCGTATCTCAACATCCTGAGGGGCTCTGATGACTTTCGCCTCTATTCGCCTCTGAGGCATTTGAAGCCGAATGAGTTCCTCCCGCGTTTCTTCCCGCGTTTCTTCCCGCGTTTCCCGCGTTTCTTCCCGCGTTTCGTCTCGCGTTTCTTCCCGCGTTTCTTGTCGCGATTCTTCCCGTTTCTCTTCCCCCGCAGAACGCGGAGGCGCTGCTGTCGCTCGGCGCGCTGCAGCTGCTGCTGCCGCTCGCGCAGGACAGCATGGCGTCCGTGCGATCCGCTGCGACGCTTTCGTTGGGTCGCCTGGCGAATGTGTCGCACGCGTGGTCGCACCACCTCGTGCAGCGCAACGTGCTGCCGTCGCTCTGCAAGGCGCTCACGTCAGTCCTGCCTTTCAGTGCTTGAGTCATTTCTTACGACGCCTTATCTGCTCACGTCAGTCCTCCTCTCCCCGCGTCTATTCATACGTGTCCGCGTAGAATTCGCGAATGTGACATCCCCGTTCATCTCTCTGCAAGGCACTCGCCTCAGTCTCCTCTCCCTGCGTCTATTCGCATGTAATTTTTTTTCTCTTTGCGAGCTCTGAAGTGCAATACCTTCTCTGTACCCATGCACTCACGTCACTCCTGCTGCTGTGTCCATCCCTCTTTCTCTCCCTCCATCTCCTCGTCTTCCCCTCTCCTCTCCCTCTACCCACCGCTGTCTTCCCCTCTCGACTCACCCTCCAATCCCTCGTCTTCCCCTCTCGACTCCCTCTACCCCCCAGCGGCACCAATCGTCACCACAAGCGCGCAGCAGCATATCTAGTCAAAGCCGTGTCACGCCACGCTGGCGCTGAGCTGGCAGAGGCGGGTGTGCTGCCGTTGCTGACGGAGTGCCTTTTGGATGCCATGCTGGCAGTGCGCGAGACTGCTGCGTGCGCATTGGGCCACGTGGTGAAGCACAGCGGTGACCTGGCAATGAGAGTGGTTGAGACCGGTGCAGTGCGGTTGCTGGTGACATGCCTTCAGGTGGGATTCGCAAATTGCACAGCTTGACAACCTGGTTGGGAGTAGAGTAACACATGTTCCCATGCACTCTTACAGTCCCCCTCATGTTTGGTGGCATTACCTCATCTCGTCTCTCACATATCTCATATCCTCCTGGTATCTCATCACCCCATATCCCATACCGCATGGCAGGACGAGGCTGTAGCGCGGATAGCCCTCTCAGTGCTGAGTGACGTGGCACGCCACTCGCTGCTGCATGCTACAGCCGTGGCTGCTGCCGTCTCTCATGCCCTCAGACTCGTGTTTCCATATATCAAATCCCCATATCTCACCTCCCCATATCTCAACTCCCCATATCTCACCTCCCCATATCTCAACTCCCCATATCTCACCTCCTCATATCTCAACTCCCCATATATCAACTCCCCATATCTCACCTCCCCATATCTCAACTCCCCATATCTCACCTCCCCATATCTCAACTCCCCATATCTCACCTCCTCATATCTCAACTCCCCATATCTCAACTCCCCATATCTCACCTCCCTATATCTCAACTCCCCATATCTCAACTCCCCATATCTCAACTCCCCATATCTCACCTCCCCATATCTCAACTCCCCATATCTCAACTCCCCATATCTCATCTCCCCATATCTCAACCCCCCATATCCCATAGCAGGACGAGGCTGTAGCGCGGATAGCCCTCTCAGTGCTGAGTGACGTGGCACGGCACTCGCTGCTGCATGCTACAGCCGTGGCAGATGCGGGCGGCATTACCGCCGCCGTCTCTCTGTTGGGATCACCTGACGTCAAGACAAGGCGTCAGGTGCTGTCCCGATGCCTGGCACCAATAGTTTTGATGCTCTCGACATCCCTGCTCATGCGTCCCAAAGGCCCATTTCCAACCATTTTTTATCACCTCTGCTGTCCTTTGCACCACCACGCTTGCTCCTTCCTTCTTCTGAACCCTGCAGCTGCCCTTCCTTTCCCTCTACCCTTGTCGTTTGCTCCTGCCTGTCTCTGCACAATCGCTTACACTTTGCTTCTCCTCAACAACTCTTTTGCACCTTTCTGCACACATTTACACACCCCCCTGCGCCTTTCTTAACCTCTCTGCACGCCTGCATGTCTTCCTGTTACCCCTGTCTCCCCACCCTTCTGCACCGCTGTGCACCCCTTCCAGGTCTGCGTCTGCCTCTCTACCATCGCCAGGCACTCTGAGTCCCTCGCCCTGGTAAGCACTGCTCCTAACTTCCCAAACCGTTCTAAAACTTCACGAACATTCCTGAACCGCTCTAAACCGTTACCCTTTATACGGCATAGCCTTCTAACTTCTTGCACGACTCGTCCCCCTCCCTGCGCGCATCAGCATCAGCAGTAGCATCGAGGGAAGTCGCGAGGCAGTAGCATCTTACATGCTCATTCCAACCCCTCTCTACCCACCCGTTCCCAATCCCCCTTCCCCCTCCCTCCTCTTCCCATCCCCCTCCCTCCTCTTCCCACCCCCCTCTCCCTTTCCCCGTATCCCCTCTCCCTTCTCCTTCATCTCGGATTCGCAGCAAGTGTTGGACCAACCCGGAGCATCTCGCTTGCTGCTCTGCCTGCACGACTCCTCCCCTGCGGGCGTCAGCAGCAGCTTGGAGTGAGGGAGGTGGCGAGGCAGAGGCTTGTATGCTCATTCCAAACCCTATCTACCCACCCACCTCCCCACTCTCCCCTGCCTCTTTTCCCCCTCCCCCTCTCCCCTTCCCCCCCTCCGTTTCCTACTCTCTCTCCCCCCGCAGCAAGTGCTGGACCAACCCGGAGCATCTCGCCTGCTGCTCTGCCTGCACGACTCGTCCCCCTCCCTGCGCGCATCAGCAGCAGCGGCGGTGAGGGAGGTGGCGAGGCAGGGACCGGCAGCAGCAGGCAGGCTGGTGGGCATGGGGGGCATTGGGCCTTTGCTCGATGCTGTGGGCACGTGGAGGGACGAGGGGGAGGGGGAGGGCATGACAAAAGGCTCTGCCAAGGTTTCAGGTCAGTGACTTCAGTTTTCTGTGCAATCTCTTTGCGGTCTCTTGTCTCCATCTTCTCAATTTTCTTGTCCCCATTCCCTGCTGCGATGTGGAGACGGTCATGCTAGTTGCGTTTGAAGCTTCCATGCACTGCCTCACTCAGTCGCTCACTTGTACACTCAATCCTTCAGCCACACACTCCTGCTCACGCACTCCCACCCACCCACTCACCCACACACACACACACGCACACACAAACACACACGCACACGCACACGCACACACACACACACACGCACACAAACACACACGCACACGCACACACACACACACACATACCTCCTGCTTTCCAACTTTCATTGTCTGATTTCCATCCCCTCTCCCCTTTTATCTCTTTCCACCCCCACACATTCTCTCCAACCCCACACATTCTATTCCCAGTGGTGGTGGCGCTCGGCTTCCTCGCAGCTTCCTCCCTCGATGCAGCGCTGGCAGTGGCGATGCAGCGCTACCATGTGATGCAGCGCTGGCAGGGGTGGCATGGGACGGCATGGGGTGGCATGGGACGGCATGGGGTGGCATGGGACGGCATGGGGTGGCATGAAATGGCATGGGGTGGCATGGGACGGCATGGGGTGGCATGGCATGGGACGGCATGGGACGGCATGGGGTGGCATGGGACGGCATGGGGTGGCATGGGACGGCATGGGGTGGCATGGGACGGCATGGGGTGGCATGGGACGGCATGGGGTGGCATGGGACGGCGTGCAGCGCTGGCAGGGGTGGCATGGGACGGCATATCCGCGCTGCAGGACCGCCTAGTGGAGGGCCATGCTGACGCCACTCTCCAAGGGGCCTGCGCGTGGGCACTCTCACGTGGGTAAGGATGTCTGGGGATGGGTGGGGATGGGTGGGGATGGGTAGGGATGGGTGGGGATGGGTAGGCATGGGTAGGGATGGGTGGATGGGTGGGGATGGGCGGGGATGGGTGGGGACGGGTGGGAATGGGTAAGCGTTTGCGACTGACGAGCCTAAAGGCAGAGCGTGTGCTCAGCTCAGGGCATGAGGACGATGACAGGGAAACGCTGAGGAGGCAATGGGGCATGTGGGTGCTTCAGCGCTGCACTTGCTTTGCCCCCTTGCATCACCTTCCTCCCCCTTCCTCCCCCCTTCCTTCTGCCTTACTTCCGCCATCCTTTTATTTCCCCCCTTTCTGACGCCTTCTGCATCCTTATGCATTCCGCCTTCTCTCTCCCCTTCCGCTATAAGACTTCATGGGATCCGAGAGACCATTTTATCTTTCTGCAAGCCACTCACGTCTTGGGATGCAACCTCTTTGCCCATTCCCTCCTCTTCCCATCCGCCCCCCCCATTCCCCGTGTTCCCTGTCCCTTCTCTCTCTGAGACCGCAGCAAGTGATGGACGAGGGTGAGGGCCGGCCGGCAGCGTCCTCACCAGACCAGACGCAGCGCTGGCAGGGGTGGCATGGGACGGCAAATCCCCGCTGCAGGACCGCCTAGTGGAGGGACCGCCTAGTGGAGGGACCGCCTAGTGGAGGGCCATGCTGACGCCACTCTCCAAGGGGCCTGCGCTTGGGCACTCTCACATGGGTAAGGATGTCCGGGTATGGGTGGGGATGGGTATGGATGGGTGGGATGGGTGGGGATGGGTATGGATGGGTGGGATGGGTGGGGATGGGTAGGAATGGGTGGGATGGGTGGGGATGGGTAGGAATGGGTGGGGATGGGTGGGGATGGGTGGGGATGGGTGGGAATGGGTAAGCGTATGCGACTGACGAGCCTCAAGGCAGAGCGTGGGCTCGGCTCAGGGCATGAGGACGTTGACAGGGAAACGCCGAAGAGATACCCCTTGCTTCAGCCTTCTCTCCCCCCTCCCCTTCTGCATCCTTATGCATTTTGCCTTCTCTCCCCCCTCCCCTTCTGCATCCTTATGCATTTTGCCTTCTCTCCCCCCTCCCCTTCTGCATCCTCATGCATTCCGCCTTCTCTCCCCCCTTCCGCTATAAGACTTTATGGGATCCTAGAGACCATTTTATCTTTCTTCAAGCCACTCACGTCTTGGGATGCAACCTCTTTGCCCATTCCTTCATCGTGTCACGTCACGATGCTCTATACGTTCAGTTCCTGTAAGTCTCCTGCCATTCTGCTGTTTGAGTTGGCTCGCAAGAGCTGCCTTCACTCTGCAAGCCACTCACGTCTCTCCTGCTGCTGTGTCCATTCCCTCTTTCTCTCGCTCCACCTTCTCGTCTTCCCCCCAGCAGTTCCCATTGCGACCACAAGCGCGCAGCAGCATATCTAGTCAAGGCCGTGTCACGCCACGCTGGCACTGAGCTGGCAGAGGCGGGCGTGCTGCCGTTGCTGACGGAGTGCCTTCTGGCTGCCATGCTGGCGGTGCGCGAGACTGCTGCGTGCGCAATGGGCCACGTGGCGAAGCACAGCGGTGACATGGCGATGTGAGTGGTTGAGACGGGTGCAGTGCGGTTGCAGGTGACATGCCTGCAGGTGGGACAACAGTCTGCAAATCAGCAGTAACTCATTCTTTCAAAAGGTCCATGCTCGCGGCAAGCATGTCTTTTCTCATGCTCTTATTAACTTCTCCACGCGTCCTGTGTTCTGCCTTTTGCCCTCCATCTCATGCCCTTGTACCGTTTATCCCCATATCCCATGTTCCCATATCTTATCTCCCAATGTCTCATTTCCTCATATCTCATCCCCCTAACTCCCATAGCAGAACGAGGCTGTAGCGCGGATAGCCCTCTCAGTGCTGAGTGGCCGTCTCAGGAAACCACCTAGCGTGGCACGCCCACTCGCCGCTGCATGCTACAGCTGTGGCCGATGCGAGCGGCGTTCCCACCGCCGTCTCTCTGTTGGGATCACCTGACGTCAAGACAAGGCGTCAGGTTTTTTTTTGTTCCTGGCACCTGTTGTTTCAATGTACTCATCTCATCTCATGCCAACCATGTCTTTGCTCATGCGTCCCCACCCCTCTCATGCACACTTTTCAGCACTCTTATCACCTGCAGTCCCCTGCAGCACCATGCTTGCTCCTTCCCTCCATTTCACCCTGCAGATGCTCTCCCTTCGTCCCGCCATTGCGGTTTCTTCCTGTTGTTTTGGCAAATTTGCGAATGAGAATAAATGGAATTTTATACCATCTCTACTAGTACCCAAGCGTTTGAAAACAAAGGTGTTGCTATCAGTGGAAATCGTCAACCGCAATTGTCGTAAATTACACTGGATTGAATAATCATCAACGTGCTACCCTTTATTTCTCTTCATATATAGCCTTGTAATTTTAAATTTAACTGGTAGTTTTCACCCCCCCAGCACCAATTTTCATTTATCAGCGCAGTTTAGGGCACAGACAGAGACTACTCGAGTGCATCAATTCTAGTAAACTTCGAGAGCAATTGTATGAAGGTCTATGCCACATGTCATCAGGGACCACAAGTTCCTTCAGTTTCCCCAAGGTTTCGCAAAGCAGGACAACAAGCAGGATATCAGGCAGGAGGAATAGATGGTCGCCCCAGGACGAAGCAGTTTTCCCGCTTTGCGGAGTTTCTAGCGGGCTATGCGGAGACTATTTGCACGTTCTGGTAACTACCTCTCGGACGATCGCAAGGCAGTTCCTCGATGTCAAAGCTACGACTCTTCAGGGCGTTAGTGCCCTCGGCTCTGCTTCTAGACTCTTCCGCAGCAGCCAGGACAGCAGCAGGGGCTGCAGCGATTTCGCAAGCCGGAGGTCTTATCGCCCAGTCGTCGCAGCATTGCGCCGATCTTAGCCATTGCTTCGCTACTGTCGCTTCGCCTCATCGCAACCAGCAAGATCCATCAGCAGAAGCGGAAATCGCTGGCTCGAACGATCAGGAAGCCGATTCGCTGGTCCTGTCTGGCGCAGGTGACGACGGAAGCCGATCGGGCGCAGGACGACCCGCGGGTTCATCAGATGGACGCTCAGACGGGGACGATGGTTTTCGTGTTAGATCGGAGCCGTGGATCTTCAACCTGACCGAACTTCCTCCTGATTCGACGGCCGCGCGTTTGTCAGAGGAGAGCAAGGAGAACATGTGGCTGTTGCATCAGAAGGATCCGGGTCATTGGAGCGTCGCACGGCTGGCTCGCGAGTATCGCGTGCGACAGCAGCGAGTGCATGCGATCCTGTGGCTCAAGGATCTGGAGAAGAAGATGGAGGAGGAGCAAGGCAAGCCTCTTGATGACTCCATCGCAAAGGAGTTTGAGAAGCAGCATGGGTTGGTGTCTTGCCCTTGTCGTTTATCAAATTCTGATTTTACGAGCTTGAGCGCGTGTGTAATTAACTTCTCACGTGGTCCTATAATTCCCCCGTTTTTGTTCCCCCTTCCAATCACCGTCTTCAATTCTGTCACCTTTGTCCCTGCATGTCCCCCCTTGCTTCTTCAACTGCGTCTCCTGTCTGATTCAGTTCCTACGACAAGGCAGTGGGAGAGCGGCATGTGAAGATCTACCCGAGTGAAGCCGTCGACTCGCTTCCGGAGGGGCCGGAGAGGGTAAAGCTGCTGCTACAGGAGTCTGAGAAGGAGGAGATGTGGAAACTGGACGAGTTTGTCAAGAGAATGGAGTTCAACAAGAAACAGGTACTTGTCTCATGTGCACTTGATTGTGCACACACACACACATACACACGTGCACACACACACACACACACACACACACACACACACACACACACATACACGCACACGCGCACACACGTACGCACACCCCCACATGTACATGCACATTTGCATGTGGACACCCACTCACACAGAGAAGATGGCTGTTTCCATTGTTAATTATCCTCCGCTCCATCATTCTGTACAACTGCTGGACATGGTATTCCTAACAGTTCCCTCCACTTGGCCATCCTCCTCTTTTGCTAAAAACTCTCTGACGTACTGCTCCAGATGGCCGATGGCCCAGTTAAAGTCAATGCCATGGAGCGCCGTAGGCCTCCAAATGGCTGGACTTACCTTGTGGAAGAGCTCGGGGAGGCGGGCCGACGCGGTCGTGGTGGAGGCTATCGCTTTGTGGTTGAGCCCGGAGCCCGGCGGCGTGGTTTAACTGCCTTGGAGAAAGAGTTTCTAGAACGAGAGACCACACGCAGACGGCGCCGTCTCATCCCAAAATAGAGGGCGGTTTCCCAGTCAGCCCTCTTCCTTCACACTTTGTTCTTAAGCGTTAGAGCGCCTGATTTTGTTTTTGGTTACAAGCTGAAAGTATATCTTAATCAATGTCCACTATTCTGTCCCTGTGAGAAGAAATCTCACTTGTGAATTAAGGTATAATACACGACCTTTACATTTATTTGTACATTTCTGTGCTACACTCAACTTTCATGGTCAACAAACGTCCCATGTTCCCACAGAGCCTCGGGGGCTGTTCCTCGTCCTCGCTTCTCGCGCCGAAAACTCGGCGCTCCATAGGTTGCGGATTGGTTCGGTCCGAGTCGGTGGGCTCTGTCAGGGAGGTAAACCAGCCTGACATTTTCAGGCAAGGTCAGGTCTCCACCCCGAGTCGCTACTTGTAGGCCGAGAACCTGCTTTTTCGCCTCAACTGTCTCACTTCTTAGCCTAAGATTTCTGCTGGTGGGGAGCCCACGCAGTGAATCTTACTGATCCCATTGTTGTTTATCATCGTAAACCTTATCACTAATTGGTGTCTAGCAGCTATCGGATAGTATTACCCCTTCGATCTCCTGTCACGTATGATAGCTCTCATTTGACGCTTGTTGCTTCGAAGTTTGTCGCTCCGCTGATTTTCATCTTGATACGAACACATTATAGTCCCCATGCTTCGTGTTTGCGTGTTGAACTCTGATTGACGTTTTTCTTTGACGGTCGCCTAGCTTTCGAGAAAGAACGACATAGAAAGCCTACTGGGGCGTCCGTCAGTCAAGAATCTGGCATGAGGTCGCTCAAAGGAAAGCATGTGGTCATTACCGGAGGTTCAAGTGGAATAGGTCTCGCGTGCGCTAAACGCTTCTTTCGCGAGGTACTTCGTGTTTTAGGCTAGCTACTGTTATTTCTTCATTGCTTCATGCAGTTGTCCCCTTTTTTCGGAGACAAGTTCGTGATTTTTTTCTGCTGAAGCAGTCCGCAGCCTTTCTCTTTGTCGCGCGTGATTACCGCAGGGTGCTAACGTGACATTGATTGCTCGAAATCACAAGAAGCTGGTTCAAGCAAGGAATGAGGTGGAAGCTTGCCTTGACAACGCTACAACCCCTTCAAGCAACACCAGGACCACGCTCATCTCCCCTAATCCGTGGGTATCGATCAAGGTTCGTCTCAAATTGACAGATACACCTTTCTGTCAAATTATTATCGGATGTAACGTTCCTCCCTGTGTAGCTGAAATCTTCTCGCACAACAAGTGTTCGTAACTTGTTAAGCCTCTTCAACATCCTCCATTGATTCCTTTTTCGCCTTTCCCTGCATTCTCCTTACTCTTCCAGTCCGTGGATGCGACTGACCAGGCGGCTATCAAGGCAGCGATAACATCAATAGATGAGGAGTGCCCTATTGATATCTTACAGTGCAATGCCGGCATTGTGAGGACCGGACTTGTGGAAGACTTATCGGCTGAAGACGTGCAGTCACAGGTTCACACCAACTTCCTGGGGAGTGTCTACCCAGTGCAGGCTGTACTCCCAAGCATGAAGGCTCGGGTCGAGGCTGGGGAGAAGCCTGGAGCTATTGTCTTCACGTGCTCTCTAGCAGCCCTGGTGAGCCTTCCTGATAATCTTATTCATCCATAAATTGTTTTTACGATCTCAATATTCCATCTATCACGGTTGCATTTCTTTCAGCTGAAGCTGCTCGTTCTCGGTATTGCGGTGATGCTGTAATTTGATACTTACACTCGTTTCCACTTTGTTTTACAGAGCTTCTGGTATGGAGCTTCGATATATACGGCCACTAAGTATGCGGTCAGAGGATTTGCAGAGGCTTTGCGGCTTGAGGTTCTACCATACAACATTCAAGTGTCTCTGATATGTCCAGGCTTCACAGACACAGCACTACTGGATGATGGTGAGCCACTCTGCTTTTGCTTCTCTCTTTTGCTCTTTCTTTGTCACCTCAACATCTCACGAACGTTTTCACACGTCTCCCTGTCTCACCCCAACCAGCTGAGTTCACTGGCAAGCATTTAACCAGATCAATGAAAGTCGCATGCTTCTACGACCGCAGCAGCGTCGAATCTCCAGACTCCATAGCCCAGTGCACTGTAGCGACTGTTCGTTCTGGAGAGTTTTTAGTGGTTACGACACATGGCATTGTCCCGCGGACGCTGTGCTCCCTGTCAAGAGGGATTTTTCCATCCAACAACATCTTCATGTGGCTGTTTGAGATCATTTGGGCCTTCGGCTCCAGGATTGTATCACTGCTGGTCCGTGTGCTCATATTCTCTGGATTGCGGGCCATCCACAGGGAGCAGCAGCAGGAGCAACGGCAGCATGAGAAGGGTTCGCAGCAGGCAGCAGGGAAAAAGAGGAGTGGAGCCGTGTCATAGAAACCCATGAAAGTTCAATGGACAATCAGCATGGCAATGCGCTGCAGGTCCATGTGCCATGATGCGGATCCTTCAACAGCCCTTCTAACACATTGGTCAAAGCCCACTTCAACCTACTAACACGCACCTTGTTAGGCAGGCCGGATTATACTAACAACGATTTGTTTTTGCAGGGACCTGCTTTATTTTGAGGCAGGATCCAATGTGCCTTGTACTCATCTCTTCGAAGTGTGGAACTTATGAGCAAACAAACAAGTGAAGGAGGCTCATATTTTCAAGCCATATTCGTTGCAAAGACTGCTCAAATCATATGGAGAAGAGATACGGTACTCGCTCTCAAGTCCAAAAATGTTTCTTACATTCAAGTACAGCAGCAGTCAGCAGTATTCGGCCAAATCAGCTGATTCTCCAAACAAACGTCCCATGCCCATCTACTGTATGTGGCTCATACGAGCTGAGGGCATCAACAGGCTGGTATCAGCACTGTAAGAGGAAGGCTGTGCTCATAAATATAGCATCATGCACACCCTCTAGTGACATGTACCCACTAATACGTAACTTCGGATTGCAGGCTATTTACCATTGATCGCCTGTAACGGCGGTGAAGGAGCTATAATGTATCACAAGTAACAGATATGTGGCACCTCAAAACCAGCTCAACTACAATGGTTACTTACACGTCATGGGAGCTCGACCGCATGATACTGGGACCAATAAAAAAGTTCTTTTGTACAGCGCGAAGAAGGCGATCTGGAGACCAGCGATACGAGGGAATGTTTGTCAAGATGTCCCTGTATGATGGAGGTAAGACATACGGTAGAGAGGCCAAAGTGAAAGAAGAGGGATTCTGACAGACTGAGAAACAGCTTGAGAAAAATGAGGAGAGATGCACACAGAAATTTGATGAAACCATCCAACAGCCAACTGGAGGTATGCAGAGTTGTTCGTGGAGGGAACGTACACACTCATCTTTGTTGCACATACATGCATGGGTAGAATGCCTATGGATCGCACATGTGGGGCTCATGAGCACACTGGAAGGAAGGGGTGAGCAGGCACCTGTGTGGAATGAGAAAGTCCTTGTATTTGTCATGCAGAGTCGTGGCCAGCAGTTGTCGAATGTTCCTGCGTGTGCTAATGTGCACGATGTTCCAGCTGCCCTGCAGCAGTGCCAGCTCCTCAAAGGCTGCATTGAACCGCTTCAACCTGTCAAGGGGTACCATGCGAGGCCAGAGCAAGGTAGATGAGCAAGAGTGAGGTGGAATGTGTTTCGAGAACATAGTTGGAAGGCGACCAGATCCAATGCACTGACCTGATCCTGAGCTCCTGAGCATTGAGTTGAAAACTGTCCTCCATGCATAGAAGGTGAGAGCATATCTGAAAGCGTAAAGAAGGTAGTGCATGGAGAGATTTATGGTGGAGTGTATGGTATGGGTGTGGCTGGTATGACTGGTACCCAAGCGTAACTTTTATATGGCCGCCTGTGCATTGTCAGGAGTGCACGGGATTAAATAGCATCTAAGAGCTGTAAGAATATGCGCTCTACTCGCACGAAGAGGCTCACCTTGGCAGTGATTGCGTCTATAAAGGCTTGTTCACACTCCTTGAGCCGTTCAGACTGTTTCATAGCCTCCTTCATGCTCGTGCTTGCACTGCACAGAGAACAGAGAGCAGAGAGCAAGGTAGAGGTCACAACAATTGTGAAAATGTTTTTAGCTTCGGGCAGTTGAGTCTTTCGATACCCAACCCATTGCTCTATCCGCAACTCATTAACCAACGGATTAATGGGCAAGTGGCCAGTTCGGAGAGCAGTCATGCACTCACAGAGAGTTGGAGACATAGGCAGTGTTGTTGAGCATGAAGAGGGCAGCAACAGTACTCTCTGCAATGACCTCCGCCCGCACTTGCATGTTGCGGTGCAGCGCTGCCAGCAGGTCACTGATCTCCTCGTTTAATACTCTCCTTGTGCCTGTCTCCCCTCCTCTTCTCCTGTACATGCTCTCCAGCATGCGCGCATACTTGGAGCCGTCTCTGTGGGAGAGCGACGTGAGAGCGAGGGGTTAAGGAGGCGGTGGTTGGACGAGAAAGACGTGTGTGTGCTTGTAGGCGCATGTGTGATAGCATGCTTGGTTGTTGCATACAGCTACTCACTGACTTATAGGTAGGTTAGTACCACTCATGACCATTCCCAACCTCTCAGTAACATGGTCAAGACTCACTTGCGCAGCAGCTGGTTGACGTAGTTGACAGTGTAGCTGGTGATGGCATGCACTGACACATCCGTCTCTTCCCTTGACCTTTCTTCCGCTGGCGCCTTCCACAACCTGCCACAGGCGGGACAGAAAGCATTCTGCAGCTTCTTAGCGGGGATGCACACATCGTGGTAGAAGGGCAAGGACCAAGAGTGGACTGGGTGCTCAGACTGCTTTCCAAATCTTTCTCTCTCCCCGTTCCACCTTTCTGTCACTCCTGAAGGTGCAGTGCGGAAAGGCAGCAGCTTCGGTGTATAAAGCTGCACCAACACCGTTCAGCTTTCCTTTAAGAACTTCTCAACCTACTCATCTTCTCTATTCCGATTTCACCCCCGTTTCACCTACCTGAAAATCTTCTGTGCAGACCGTGGTGATGCTGCAACAGCCATAGCCTGCTGCGCTGCACCCACATCGTTCAGCCTCTCCTTGAGCTTATCGATAGACGCTATTGCTGCTGATGTCAGCAGTTTTGGCAGCTTCTTCCATTGCTCATGGGCTTTTTCCATACCTGCTGCCATCAGCACATCTTCCATCTGCATGAATGAGTGAGTGGAGAGGGGAGGGTCAAGCAAGGCAGGACGTACTTGTATTTTAGGCACCTTGGCGATAGAAAAACTGCTGTCACAAGCACATACTCTATCCAAACTGATGGATGGGAAGGAGAGGTAAGTACAGCAGGAAAGCGATATTTGTTTATGAGGCACCATCAATCAGAACATGAAAACTGTTGTTCTTCCTTTCCCCCTTCCTTTGAAATCATGTCTTGGTAACGACGGTGCTAGGTACCACTCACTCACTCACCCTTTTACTCACTCACTCACCTGTGACCCAAGGTCCTGGGTGGCCTGAATCATATCCAGCAGACTGAACAGCTTCTCCGGCTGCTCATCAGACGAGCAGATGGCAGCAGCGTTGCCGCACAGCAGATGCAGCGCCTGCTTCAGCGCTGCTGCTCGCCGCACAATGCGGCGGAAGGAGCGGGTGGAGAGGGTGTGGGAGAAGAGGAACACGCTGTCGCAGAGGAAGCGCTCCGCTACTAGCAGCACGTCCATCTGCTTGTAATGGGTATGAGATGGGAGGGAGTGGGTAAGGTTAGAGTGTGAAACCAGAGCTTCACACTCAAGGGTGCCACTGTCAGATAGCTTGACCCGTACTCACTGACTTACCAGCAGGTAGGCATGTAGCACCCAGGGTTTGAGAAACACCTCCTGGGCTCTCCAAAGCAGGGTGGAGAGGGAACTGAGTCGACTTCTAAGTCGACTGAAAAGTCAAGCTGATACTCACCACTGGACTCACCAGCAGGTAGGCATCTCGCACCCAGGCCTTGAGAAAGACCTCTTGGGCTCTCCAAGTCAGGGCGGAGAGAGCACTGAGTCGACTCAAAAGTCAAGCTGACTGTTGCCACCGGACTCACCAGCAGGTAGGCATCTCGCACCCAGGCCTTGAGAAAGACCTCTTGGGCTCTCCAAGTCAGGGCGGAGAGAGCACTGAGTCGACTCAAAAGTCAAGCTGACTGTTGCCACCGGACTCACCAGCAGGTAGGCATCTCGCACCCAGGCCTTGAGAAAGACCTCTTGGGCTCTCCAAGTCAGGGCGGAGAGAGCACTGAGTCGACTCAAAAGTCAAGCTGACTGTTGCCACCGGACTCACCAGCAGGTAGGCATCTCGCACCCAGGCCTTGAGAAAGACCTCTTGGGCTCTCCAAGTCAGGGCGGAGAGAGCACTGAGTCGACTCAAAAGTCAAGCTGACTGTTGCCACCGGACTCACCAGCAGGTAGGCATCTCGCACCCAGGCCTTGAGAAAGACCTCTTGGGCTCTCCAAGTCAGGGCGGAGAGAGCACTGAGTCGACTCAAAAGTCAAGCTGACTGTTGCCACCGGACTCACCAGCAGGTAGGCATCTCGCACCCAGGCCTTGAGAAAGACCTCTTGGGCTCTCCAAGTCAGGGCGGAGAGAGCACTGAGTCGACTCAAAAGTCAAGCTGACTGTTGCCACCGGACTCACCAGCAGGTAGGCATCTCGCACCCAGGCCTTGAGAAAGACCTCTTGGGCTCTCCAAGTCAGGGCGGAGAGAGCACTGAGTCGACTCAAAAGTCAAGCTGACTGTTGCCACCGGACTCACCAGCAGGTAGGCATCTCGCACCCAGGCCTTGAGAAAGACCTCTTGGGCTCTCCAAGTCAGGGCGGAGAGAGCACTGAGTCGACTCAAAAGTCAAGCTGACTGTTGCCACCGGACTCACCAGCAGGTAGGCATCTCGCACCCAGGCCTTGAGAAAGACCTCTTGGGCTCTCCAAGTCAGGGCGGAGAGAGCACTGAGTCGACTCAAAAGTCAAGCTGACTGTTGCCACCGGACTCACCAGCAGGTAGGCATCTCGCACCCAGGCCTTGAGAAAGACCTCTTGGGCTCTCCAAGTCAGGGCGGAGAGAGCACTGAGTCGACTCAAAAGTCAAGCTGACTGTTGCCACCGGACTCACCAGCAGGTAGGCATCTCGCACCCAGGCCTTGAGAAAGACCTCTTGGGCTCTCCAAGTCAGGGCGGAGAGAGCACTGAGTCGACTCAAAAGTCAAGCTGACTGTTGCCACCGGACTCACCAGCAGGTAGGCATCTCGCACCCAGGCCTTGAGAAAGGCCTCTTGGGAACTCCAAGGCAGGGCGGAGAGGGCAGGGGCGCGCACTTCCCCCATCTCCAGAGCTGCTATGGCTGCTTCAAGGGCTGTTGCCCGCAGTGCGCTGGGAAAGTGAGGCGTAAGGTGTATAAGAGAGGGTGGGGGGATGGAGGGAGGAATATCATATATAACTAAAGGTGGAGAGGGCAAGGGCGCGAAGTCCCCCCATCTCCAGAACTGCTATGGCTGCTTCGAGGGCTGCCACCTGCAGTGTGCTGGGGACGAGAGGTATCTGGTGTACAACAGAGGGTAGAGAGAGGGACGGAGGTATATGGCGTATAAGAGAGGGTGGGTGGAGGGAAGGCGGTGCGCATATCATATACAATAGAAGGCGGGATGGTGAGTGGCGCCCGATTTCCTTATTCCCAGAGCCGCTATGGCTGCTTCGAGGGTTGCTGCCCGCAGTGTGCTGGGACAGGAGGTTTATGGTTACAGCTAGAGGAGAGTGACATGGAATGCAAGGGAAACGTTTTGGGCTGCTTCAGAACGAGGATGGCAGAGGGCCAGAAAGGGTGATGCTTCAGTTCAGGCGCGGAAGACGGTGAGTAAGGAGACAGAGAAAGAGAGACAGTTCAAAAGCAGCAGCGTTGGGACTTGTGCGGTTGGTGATAAGTAACAAAGAAGCGGCAGGTGGTGATGAGGTGAAGCAAGGGCCCAAGGGTTGTGAATAGCAAGGGCCCAGGGGTTGTGATTCAAAGGCAGATCAAAAGGCGGAGAGGGTAAAGAGGGGAAAGAGGTGGAGAGAGGAGAAAGGTGGGGAAGAGGAGAGCCAAATTTATACCAGTACTCGACCAAACACTCTTTCGCTTTGCCCCCATCTGAAAGCTGCTGAGCGATTCTCTCCAAAGAAGGCACAGCCTTCACAGGCAACCATGGCACCAACTGCTGCTGCCCATCCTCCTCCATCCCCCCTCCTCTCTCGCTCCTACCCACTGCTCCTCCTATTCCCCCTCCCCCAACTCCCCTTGGTCTTGCCAATGGACCAGAGTCCCCCTTCCGCCCTCTCGCTCCCCCTAAAGGGGGAAGGGGCTCCATCCCCCCGGTTCCTGCTCTCAACCCCCCTGGACCTGCCCCTGCCGCCCCTGCCCCCGTCCCACCAGCAGGAGATCCTGTTACAGTCACATTTGTTCCGGATTCCCCACTTAACGCCCCTCTCATGCTTCTCCGTGGTACTACTATTGTGAAATTCGCTGCAGCAGACTGAGACCGACCGTGCCTGCTGGCTCGGCTCTGCCGAGCCTGACTCGGCAGGTCCGGGAGCGGATACAAATCCTCTTCCTCCTGAACCTGCTGCCGATCCCTCTCCTGCTGCTTTTTCTGCTGCTCCCTTTCCCGGCGTGAGAACCGGCGCGCTCCTTCCGCTGCTGCGTCTGATTCAGCCCGAACCAATTTTGAGGTTCGGTTCTTCCGGGCGTGGATCGCAGACACGGCACTCACAATAGACGCAGGTCCGGACATCTGGACTGGAGACGGCAGCAGATTCGGGATGTCTTCTGCAGCTGCCCGGGTGCTTCGGGACACCGAAGCAGAGCTTCCCGAGCCTGATGTGTCTGAGAGAGGAGAGAACGTGAAATTGGAGGAACCCCCCCCATCTTCATCCTCATCCCCATTTGTGGCAGCCTCGTTTTGAGCACAAGCACCATGGTTTCCGCTAGCATTTGCACCTATCCTCGCATGGGATTCCGCTGCAAAGGTATCTTCTACTTCCACGGCTTCTAATTCCGCAAAGAGGGGATGCGGATGGGTCTGCTTTGGGGATACCAGCTCAGGGTTGGTTGGAATCGCTACATGTGGAGTGTTGAAACGATGCACTGAACCTTTCCTTGATGCCGCCGCCGCCGCCGCCACCGCCGCCGCTGCTGCTACTCCTCCCATTCCTTCGGCACTTCCTGCTTCTCCACCAGCCGTCCCATCCCTTCTAGCGGCCACAGCAGCAGCAGCGGCAGCAGAAGGGCTCGGGGTTGGGGAAATCTGGGAGTTACGATGACGCAATCCGAACGCTGCGAGCAGGGGATCGCGCGCAAACAGATCGTCTGACATCGTGCGCTTATGCACGCTCGCTTCCTCTTCTGTCATCCCTCTGTCGTCCATACCAATCCCTGCCTCCTTCCCTTCACCGCCAGTCTGTGACGCTGCTCCTCCTCTTCCTCTCCCTCCTCTCCCTCTCCCTCCTCCTCTCCCTCCTTCCCCTTCTCTCTCCCCAGTCCCTCCACTCTCTTCTCCTATTTCGCCTGCTAATGCCGCCTCTTCTGCAAATGCATCCATTTCTGCTGCTGCTGCAGCAGCAGCAGCAGCTGCTGCCAGTTTCCCAAAAGGATCCAGAGTGATGGGCGGCCGAGTCGACAGCTTCTTGAATCGCTTCACAAGTGCACTGTACTGTGCACTGTACATGGGGTTGACCGCTCTGCTGGTACCTCCCCCACTGCTGCTGCTGCTGGTGGGGCTGCTGTTGCTGCTATAACTGTGAGAAGCCCTCACGTTGTTGCTCGCTGCTGCTGCTGCTGCTGCTGCTGCTGCCGTCGGTGCTGCTGCTGGACCATAACTCTCCCCCTCATCATCAATAGCAGATAGGCTCTTGCTGTACCGCGAGTTGCTTATGCTGTGTCCACTGCTGACCCCACCAGAATCAGCAGAAACAGCAGCAGCAGCAGCAGCCCCAGAACCAAGAGCACCATCACCAGCAGACACAGAGCGGGGGAGAGGCGAAGCAGATCGGACACTGAGGTCCAAAACAGCCTTTGCCATCGGCACTTCAAACGCCCTGCTGTGCTTCACAAGGCTATCTTTGAACTCCTCTATAAGCATCTCCATGCATCGCTCTATAAGCATGTCCACATCGCCCAGTACCTTCATCACCTCCCCTTCACTCCCAGCACGCAACCGCCCAAATCCTAACCCTAACCCTAATCTCAACCGTCCTAACCCCAAGCTTTCGCTCCCAGCCAGTTCTCCTTGGTGATCTCTAAACCCGTTCAAATCGCCGCTGTCTACTGCTGCTGCCGCTGCTAGTGCTGATCCGAATATGGTCGGAGGCTGACTGGCCCTTCGCCCCAGCTTTTTCCTCATCACACCTGCAAATCCTGTGTCCTCCATTGCTCCTCCTCCTGCTTCTTCCCTTCCGTCCGTTTGATCATCACCATAGCTGGCAGCAGCACCACTACTGCCGCCATACCCCCTGGTCCCCCACACTCCCATGTCATCTCTGCTGCTCTCCCCGCCTTCGTAATACTCCGCCCCCCTTCCGCCCATGCCGTCACCCGCTCGTCCCCCCGCCCCTCCAGCACCCCCCTCTTTGTCGTTTAGCCGCGCGCGCAGGGCCTTCTGGATGGCGCAGAGGCGGGCAGTGCCGCCCAGAAAGGTGTCCAGCTGCCAGCGTGGACCGACCGCCATCACTGCATTCAGCTGCCCAGGTAGCAGGCGGAGGGGGGCCGGGGAGGGGGGAACGGAGGGGCGAGGGGAAGGGGGCCGGGGGGGAAGAGGGGGAAATGGGAGAGGGGAGGGGTTGCGGGAAATGCATCTGCCCATCTGCCAGCGCGGCCCGACCGCCACCACTGCATTCAGCTGCCCAGGTATCGAGGGGAGGGAGGCATGGGGGTAAGGGGGGCGCGCGTGGGGGGAGGGGAGAGGGGGCAGGGCAAGGGGAACGGAGAGGAGGAAGCGGGGAGTGGGGAGCGGGAAGGGGGAATAGGGGGACGTGGGGAGGGGAAGGGGGTTGGGGGGGAAAAGGGGGAAATGGAGGAAGAGAGGGAGGGGGTGGGGGAAAGAGGGGGAGAGCGTGTCACGAGTGTGGAAGGATTGTGGTGAGCGGTGCGCAAATAACGTTCTTACTAAATCTCAAGTGAGGTTCCGAAAAACCGGAACAAATGGCTTCTATCTCGTCTATTCCCTTCCTTTCCTACACCGCTTCCCCCGCAACAACAGCGCGGTGCCGCGATCGCATGCGACGCATGGGGAAAGCAACGCACCTCGTGAAGGATGGCCTTCGCTTCCTCCGCTATCGTGCGGTTCGGCGCTAGCTTGCGCGTCCATGAAGGCTCTTCCATTGACGAAAGGCGACGGCGAACGTCGCCTGATGGCTGCGTCGGCGACTAAGGTAAGCGAAACGCGAATATGAGCGAGAAGAAAAGAAGTTCGGTTGGACACGTCAACAGGAACCTACTCTCCCTCTGGACAAAGGTGAGTGCAAATCCGAAAATAAGAGTCAGAAAGAGAGAGCCACGGGTCTAAGTTCTGGTTTGGACAGCCGTGAAACTACGCGAAGAGAATGTAGGCACGCGCCTTGGTTGTAGACAGCGTGTCGCAGCGTGCTGTATCGCACAAGACGTGGGCGCGAAACTGCACGTTTAGCTATCGGGATGAACTACTTGGAGACTATGTCAGGTGAGGTGGCAGGTTGACCGTGTGGTGCGTGTGGGCCAAATCATTGCCATTACGTTGGCCTGATTCTGTGTTGGTCTGACAGAATCAAATGTGATTGAGCGCGGTTGGAACTTGGAACGCAAGCCACTCACAGCGGGCTTTTCCGGAAACGACGGCAAACATTCGCAGTCGTGCTGTCTCGTTGACGAATGATAAGGCGTGCGAACCTGGTTACTCGACAGCTGGGTCCATGTGTGAAGGGACCAGGTTTGATTCGGTCAAGCTGGCTCAGTTGTTCAAACTGCGGTGTCTCGATTGCGTATCAACATACGAACAGTTTAGCATTTATCTCTTATTCAACAGCAGTCATAGCGGAGCATTCAGTAGAGGAGTAATTGCTCCGACGGATTTTTCAAGGGACATTCTGTTTTGCTTCTCAGCGCCCCCGCGCTCAATCGTCACATACCACCGCATCATCCGCTCCGCACATTCCAGCTCCGTTTTCTGGTTAATCGCAGCCGTTCCTGTTCTCAATTAACTTAGTCCGTGAACACTTTACAGGTCACTCTTGCTTCTTCCCGACTTGCTCAGATGGAAGTAGCCCGAACAACCACCGACCGCCATCTCTCGATTCGGCATCCTCGAGGCGCCATTGAGGCGCCTCAAAGCCTCATAGCCTCGACAATTGGGAATATGGCGAGCCCGATTGGTGTTCCCTTCTTTCCCTTTGGATTGAATTCCCGTCTTGTCTCCAAGAGCTTCGGCATTGGGTGTTCCGATTGGATGGCTCGTTCTTGCCCTCTCCCAGTGGAAGCACGAAGCTTATCATTGGCAGATGCTCATCGGCGCATCCTGACGGTTGGCTCCTGCTCGACGAACCACGTGTACGCGTGTGACGGATCCGATGGACTCATTGCACCGTGCTAAAACGACCCTCGCCCCGACATAGTACCAGCAGCAGCGGGGTCCGTCCGACCCTTCATCTCTGTGCGTCCAACTTACTCCAAATTCCAACAGCATCGACCAAGCACTCTTTCGTCATTCAAGAATCAATCCCTCCCCGGCATTCAACACGCAGTATTTCCTCTCCACCATTGCTCAACCACTTCCTCCTGCGCTTCTATCCTTCGCCTCCCACTCTCTGCATCCCGGGCTCTCCCTTTCCTCTCCTGGTGCACCCCAAAAGCTTCTCTTTGACTTGTGGGGTGCCCCTCATAACCGGTGCTCTGGACAAGCTGCAGCCATTCTTGAGGTGCCTCAGAAGCCAGAGTCAGTGCCCGTACTGAGCCATTCTGACCCAGCTGGGTAACTAGTAAAGAACGCCTACTATGGAAGGCTCCTTCTTTCCTATTTTACACTCACGAGGAGGCTACTATCGGGCTCAGAGGCTCTTATCCCGGCAACACCGCCCTTTGATCCAGCAGCAGAGGAAGCTTATGCAAGAAGATAGAGCGTTTCACGTGCCATGCGCCACTGTGCTGTGCGTCATGCTTGCCGTTACCACTGCTGCTGCAGAGCCAGCCCACGGATACAGTGCAGCAGTGGGATCACAGGACCACAGTGCAACGGCTGCCGCACACGAGGGTGGATACTGGCACGGCATGGGCATGGCTTCACGGTTTCGCCTCGTGGAAGATATTCCCACATCCTCCACTTCTGCGACTGCTGCTGCTGCTTCGACCACACCTTCTGCATCCCCTTCTCGCCCATCCTCCTCCCTCCCCGCCCCTGCCTCCCGACGATCTACCTCCTCCTCCTCCTCCTCTCCCTCCTCCTCCCGACCCTCCTCCTCCTCCTCTTCATCCACTCGCGCCTCCTCCTCCTCCTCTGCCGCTTCCCGGTCTACCACATCGAATCCATCAGCTACGTCAGCCTTAGATTCTGCACCTGCAGAACCCACTGATCCCCCTTCCCCCAAGCTCCCCCCTTCCCCCAGAGGTCCCACTTCAACATCCGCCCCCCCTCCTTCAACCCCCGAACCTGCCTTTTCCTCGCTCGCTCCCTCCCCTTCTGCCTCCGAGCCAGCCCTCCCTCCGCTTATATCTGAACCCATCGCATCCCCCCCTCTCTCCCTCCCACCCTCCCCTCCTCCCCGCTCTTCCCCTCGCCCCCGTCGCCGCCGCCAGCCCCCTCCCCCACCTCCCCTCGAAGCCCCAACCCCTGCGCCCGCCCCTTCCCCCGAGCTCCCCCTTGCCCCTGCCCCTGCCCCCGAATCCCTCCTCTCCCCCTTCCCCGCCCCTGCCCCTTCCCCAGCCTCCACCCCAGCACCCGCCCCTTCCCCCTCCCCCTCCCCCGCCCCCGCCCCCGCCCCCGCCCCTCTCGGCCAATCACTTCTCACCAGCTCAGCGAAATGCCCCGGGATAATCATAGACTATCGCATTCTCTCTCTCACGCCCATCCCCTTTGCCGGAGCGCCTGCGTTCCGCTTCACCTCCAAGGTTACCCTCTCTAATGTGGGGCCCAGGCCGCTCAGGAAATGGGCGCTGTCGTTTGGGTATGTGAATCAGGAGGCGATTGGAGAGGTGGACGGGGCGGTTGTTCCTGCGGGCGTGCAGCTGCCAGTAGCAGGTGAGCTCATAACGAGTACATGCATACACATGCGAATGAATGCTAGACCTGTTGCATATCCTTGCGAATGAGTCCACCTGTATTTTTCCTGTTTGGTGCCTCTCTAATCTCATGTTTTCCTACCCTAATGCCCAATCTGGACTGGTCTCATCTCGGTTCAGAAACGTTTGTCTTCTTCGCCATGCATTCCCTCTCTCTCTTGCATATCCTTCTGCGCACCTCAACCTCCCTCTTCTCGTTCCGTGTTTGCTCGCTTTGCTTGGTTCCGGTTGCTTCCTCCAGGCAACGGTCTCGAGCTCTCCAGTCCACCAGGGGCCGCATTCCTGCTCACAGCCGTCCAATCAGGTGGCCAGAAGCGGCGCTTCCAGCACGTGATACAGCTGGCAGGCACAGAGGTCGCTGCCACGTCAGCAGCTGCTGCACTCCCCAGGACCATCTCCCTTGATGCCACTGGGTTTACCTGTAGCGACACACCCATGCTCTCAGGTAGTGAGGTTTGGGATTAGCAGGATTCGTTTGCATTGTTCAAGAGCAGCTACTTCCCAGGACCATCTCTCTCTGCACACTACCGAGTCTACTTGCAGCGCCAAACCCCCATGCTCCTAGATGGAGAAGGTTAATAAGTTTTCCTGCAATACCCCCGCAAATTTCCGGCCTCTCCTCTGGTCGCTTTCCTCCTTCTCCTCTGGTTTTTGAGAATTCTCAAAAGTCCCCCTCTCGTTTCCCACTTTTCCCTTCTTCCTCCCTTGCTTATCCCCACAGGTCGCAATGACACGCTCCGTGTGTGCTGCCCCTCTACCGGCCCTTCTCAGGAGACGCAAGGTGTGTGTGTGTCCTTCGTCCCTTGCTCCCCCTTCTCATGTTCCCTCTTCCCATGCTCCTTCTCCAGTCTCTTCTACCAGTATGATTCTGCTTCATACTAAGCTTCTGCTGGTTTGTTACCACGTCCTTGGAATGAAATGCTTCTCCCATCGGCACGTGATACAGCTGGCAGCTGGAATGAAATGCTTCTCCCATCCTCCTCCCTCGATCCTTTCGCTCTCCTCCCACTTCCGCCCTTCTCAAACCAGTTGCACCACTTACGCTACGTATCACTTCTCTCCTTACCCTCTCTCTCCCGCTCCCTTACCCTTTTCTCCCTCTCAACCCAGTGGCACCACTGCCGCTACCAACGCTACCCATATCCAGCCAGGGGCTGCAGATCCAGTGGGACGTGCTGAGCGCCAATGCGTCTCAGTACACGGTGGCGGTGCGAGTGAGCAACACGCAGCGCTACACGGCAGTCAGCAGCAACCCCGGGTGGTCCTTGCAGTGGGCGTGGCAGATGGGCGAGTGAGTGGGGCTCAGTCAGAGGTAGTGAGTGGGGTTCAGAGTTCAAGAATTGGATTCAGAGTTTCTGGCTTAAGTTTGGTCATCGCATACTGTTGACATGCTCCTGAGTGCGTTCATAGATCCTGCCATTCACGTTGCTTCTTCTCTGTGTGATTGTTCAGCTCAAACACTTGTGCTTCTTCTCACCATCCCCTTTACTTCTCTCCTCACTTTGGCCAGAATGATCCTGGAGTGCGATGGGTGCCAAACACTAAGGCAAGGAGGTAAGCCTCTGTTACAGATGAGATTAGTAACACAATATAAGGTGAGATGAGAGTGAACAGAACAACAAGGTCGTAGGAGACTGGGAACAGGTGATGAGGCATAGGAGACTGGGAACAGGTGATGAGGCGTAGGAGACTGGGAACAGGTGATGAGGCGTAGGAGACTGGGAACAGGTGATGAGGCGTAGGAGGCTGTGAAGAGGGTAACGCACTGCCATACTGCCGCACGCTGTTGACGCGCCTCAAGAATGCTCCCCATGTCTGGTGAACGCTTACGCATTTCTTCTTTTCCTCTTACCTTTCCCAGGCTGCACCTCATGCCCTGCATGCCTTTTAACCCCTTTTGAAACGCCTCAACATTCCCCCATGTATACTGATTCTCTTTTCCCAGACTGCACCTCATGCCCGGCGTGCATTGACAACCCATCCATCACCAACCCCTACTCCTGCGATCCTATCCCAACCATTGTGGATGGCTCCCCGTAAGCTCCTCTCTCCCTCCATCGCGTTTGCCACTCACATGTGTTATTGAGACGAAAACGAAACCATCTCCTAGGTTACATGCCTCTACGGTGTGTACGTGCTGTGTAGCTCTTCCCTGCGGCCAGCCATGTTTCACTCGAGTCACTTCTTGCTCCGGTTCTCCTCCTTCCTTCCTTCCTTCTTTACCCCTTTCCCTTCCCTTCTTCACCCGCTTCCGCTTCCCCCCTTCTTCCCTTCTTTCTCCACTTCCTTTCCCTTCTCCCCGTCATCTGTTTCCCCATCCCCCGCCACCCCAGCCTGAACGGATCTCTGTCCGCAGCAGCGTATGACAACTCCTCCTCCACAACTTTCACCATGCTTCTGGTTAGCATCTCATCCCGTCACTGGCCCCACATCCTTATGTTAGTGCCTCGTCCTGTCGTTCGTGTTGCATCCCACTGCTAATATTGCACCCAATCTCTTCTGCGTTTCCTCCTTCCATAATCTCCACCCTGGGACCCTTCACTTCTCACCTTCCTACCACCTGGGCGTTGATCCAGTCTCAGGGATCGCATGCGACCCTGAAGCCTCTGCTTACCTTGGTCCTCTGGTTTTCTCTCCCCCAACTCCTTTTCCAAACCCCACCCCAGGCCAAGGCGCAGCAGTACTGGGACCCCTCGCTGCTCACCTTCCCTGCCAACTTCACAGCGCAAGTGTCGAACCAGTCACAGGGATTCGCTTGTGACCCCCCTGCTGCGCTCTCCCCTGCGGCGCTTGAGACTGTGGTGGGCGGCAGACAAACCATGAACGCCAAAGGTGGGCGGCCGATGGTAAACTTATCAGTCGCAGGGATTTGCGTGCGATCCCCCCGCTGCTCTCTCCCCTGCAGCGCTTGAGAACCGTGGTGGGCGGCAAACAGACCATGAATGCTAAAGGTGGGCGAAAGGCAGACAGTGGAAACTAACAAAGAGCGGATGAGGGACTGTGAGGACTTTACTTGATAGCTTTACTAACAGAGAGCGGCTGGACTTGTAATTCTTTGTCAGCTTCCAGTACTCTTCTATCTCTCATACAACCCTCACTCGAGTTACTCCCCTTGACTTTGCCTTTCCCTAATTTTGATCACTTAACCTGTGCATCACCGCCCTCTGTCCCCATGCCTGCTTTCCCCTACCTCAGCCTCTTACGTGGTGACATGTGGCACAGTGGCGGGAAACGGGCCTCTTCCAACCTGCTCCGTGTCAGCATCTGGTAACACAAATCCTTTAGTAACCTTGACACAAAACGGCTTGTTAAGGAGTTTAAACACATCTCGACAACCTGCTTTGTGTCAGCATCTGGTAACTTCCTCAGTAACATCGGCACGAAACAGCATGCGAATCCCCTTCCCACTCCCACCAACATATCTCACCTCCACTTCTTTCGCTGCACTTCCTGCAACCATGCCCACCCCTCCATCTTCCCCTCTTGCTTCATCGCATTTTTGTCCCCCATGTTTCCACCCAATTCCCCCCCACACGCCTCCGTTACTTCAACCCTTTTCCCCCCCAATTTCTTCCAGCCTTCTTCAACACCTCGCTCGCCCCCAGCCCCTCCTGCGCCTGCGGCTGCTCTTCCTCCAACACCAGCCAGGGCGGCGGCCAATGCGACGCCGCCACGTCTGCGAGTGCGGACCCCGCTGCAACCGTGCTATTGGGCGAGGACCTGGCAGGGCTGGTGGTGCCGGGGCAGAGCGAGGGGGTGAGTGGACGAAAAAATAGGCCTAAAAAATGGGATGATGGTATGAGGACCTAAAATAGGCCTAAAATAGGAGAGGAGTCAGGACCTGGCAGGGCTGGTGGTGCCCGGGCAGAGCGAGGGGGTGAGTGGATGGGGTGCGAGTTTGATGGAAAACTGGCATGATGGGATGAGGCAGTGGACAATGGAAGAGAGGAATGAGGACCTGGGGGGACTGGTGATGTCGGTGCAGCGCGAGGTGGTGAGTTTGAGGTCCTTGTACTTGCTGCGGTGTTTTAGCACGTATGCCTGCATTCTTGACCCCTCACTCCCTCGCCTCCTCCCATCTCTGCTGTCTTTTCTCTCATTGCTCATCTCTACTCCCTCCACCCTCCTCCCTCCTTCCAATCCAACTTCCTCCCTCCTCGCCTCTCCCTCCCACTGTCGCTCCTACTCTCTCCCACCGGAGCTGTGGCACCGGCTGTGCCTTTTAAAGCACCTTAAATGTCCTAACTCAACCCTTTACCCTCCACCTGCTTCCCTCCTTCCTCCCTCCACCCATCGCCCCTGCTCTCCCCCACCAGAGCTGTGGCACTGGCTGTGGTATTCAGGCACACGTGACTGTATCAGATGCGGACGAAACAGGCTGGACCATGCGCGTGGCGCTCTGGAACAGTGCACCGCCCACGATCAAGAACTGGACGGCAGTCTTGGCGTTTCCCCAGGGCTTTGCAGAAAACCTCCAGGAAGCTTCCTCAGTGGTGGCTCAATTCGACTCCCCACCATACGGTATGGCTGGATATCAAATGCTTCTAGATTGGTATAAGATACATCTGATGCTGACACATATACGACACATCAGGTGTGCACCGCAGCAAGTCTGCTCAACTTCCCCACCACTTCGTCCTCCTTGCCCTCAGATTCAACCATCTTTTCAAATTTCTCCTCCCTTCCCCACCTGTTCCCCTTACCTCCCCTCCCTCCCCAGGTGACAACCTAATGATATCAGGAGAGCCCAGTGTGAACCAGTGGCTGCTAGGAGACGGAGGCAACGTGCAGTGGACTCTCCGCTTCAACCGAACACCCAACACAGCCGGGTTCAACGCCACGGGCGGGGACACTGTTGCCATCAGCTCTTCTGTCTTCCCATTGGCTGTGCTTGTGGGCGGCCAACAGTGCCAGATGCCGGCCTTTTTGCCTACCGCTAAGGCTGCAGGGACAGGCGGGAGCAGGGGTGGGGCTGTATGGTGGAGCGTGGCAGTGGCAGTGGCTGTGTGGGCACTGCTGTGCTGATATGCACATTAGCTTGTCTTTACAGATGTTACGGTTTCTGTTTGTGTAGCCTTGGGTTTTCTAGTGCTTTTGGACTCACTGAGTGCTAAACTTTGCGGGCAAGCGTGCAATCAAGACCTACTGAGTGCTAAGCCACCACCGGGTTTAACCTGCTTCGTTACAAGGTACACACCCGGCTAAATACACACACCAGTTGGCGCATCAGGACACAGAGGTAGCATAAATTGCCATAAAATTCCCAAGGCACGAACATTTCAACGAGAAAAGCACACCGATTCCAGCCAACCACTCTAGGGGTACCCTTGACAGGGCGGCAGCAGCAACCACCCTTGACAGTGCGTGTCATGATGACTCATAATCCATGATGGCAGCAGCAGGAAACACACTCAATTGCTCTTTCGCAAGAGGTGCTGGCCCTGCAGCTGCAGCAGCTACAAAACACTCATTCCTCTCACCACATGCTACCCCTCTCGGCGTCAAGTGCATGGTTGTATGGGAGATGAGCAGGAGATAAGATGCTACTTCAGCAGCAGCGGCGGCGGCAGCAGCAGCAAAGACCGTTCGTGGCTCCTCTTAGCCACAAGCTCCTGGTCCTGCAGGCGTTGCAGCAGCTGTGACACCCTCCTCTCACCGGTGCGACACACATGCCATCAAACTGATAACCCCTGCCTTAACTCCTCTTGGACATTAGCTCCTGGTCCTGCAGGTGCTGCAGAAGCTGAGACGCCTTCCGCTTAGCCCTGGGCGTGCCACTCCTCAGCAGCAGCTGCAGCGGCGGCACAGCACCGCACTGCACCGCAAGCTCCGTGTGCTCCCTGCCGTTCAAACACAGCGAGAGCAGCACCGAAGCCGCATTCTCCTTGTTCCTCGGAGACCCATCTTTCATAAGCTCCACTAAAATAGGCACTGCAGTCGCCTCTCCTATCGCCGTCCGCCCCTCTGGGGACGTCGAAAGGACGGCCAGGATCGCGAGAGCCTCGTCCATCATGCCCGATCGACGATGCACGAGCAGATCCACAAGAGGCGCAACCACCCCGGCACGCACAGCCCTTGCCTTATTCCCCTGGTAGATCGACAGGTTGAAGATTGCAGTAGCCGCATCTTTCTTTCCCCGAGTTGACCCATGCTGAAGCAGGTCCACCAGGGCCGGTATCGCTCCCGCCTGCCCGATCGAAATCTTGTTTTCATCCATGACTGAGAGCGAGAACAGCGCCGCTGCCGCGTTTTCTCGAGCCTCCATGCTGCCTCCTTTCTCCAGAACCCGAACTATAGCCGGGATGGCTCCAGCTGAGACAATCAGGCTCTTGTTCGGGTCGTTGATTGACAAGTTTAGTAACCCGGTAACCGTATGCTCCTGCATTTTGGCATCAGCTGGGAGAGGGTCAGTGAGTAATTCGACCAGGAGGGGAATGATGCCTCCTTCGGCCATTGCAACCCGGTTCTCCACACTTCGTTTCGCCAGCAGCCTTACGTCAACCGCAGCACCCTTTCGAACCTCCAGATCCGGCGAGCGAAGCCGGTCCCGAAGCTGCATCACCTGATGTCGATCCGAGAGCGAAATCTCCGCCGAGCCTCCGTCCCCGGTCCCACCTGCTCCCCCACCGGACCCACCACCCCCACCGCTCCCACCCGCACTTCTACCCCCGCTGCTGCTACCACCACCACTGCTGCTGCTGCTGCTACCATGCTTGCTGCTGTGATGGCGGTGCCTGTGGCCTGACTTGTGCGTTCTCTTGGGTAGTTCAACATTGTTGGCTTCGCACCATTGCTGGATGAGGCTTCGCAGGGAGAAGTTGGGGATGAGCGAGGCGGGCTGGGACAGGATCTGCTGCGTCTTGGGGCACGTCTTGTGACCCTCCTTGAGCCACTGCTCTATGTACGCTCGATCGTACGTCTGTTGGGGGAAAGGGGGGGTGGGGGAGGTGGCGGAAGAGGTTGGGGGGGTTGGTGGTGTTGGAGTGTGCCTCAAAAGTCGTGTTGGGTGCCGTCTTGTGACCCTCCTTCAGCCACTGCTCTATGCACGCTCGATCGTACGTCTGGCGGGGGAAGGGGAGGTGGGGGAGGTGGGGGAAGGGGTTGGGGGGGTTGGCGGTGTTTGAATGTGCCTCAGAAGTCGTGCTGGGGCACGTCTTGTGACCCTCCTTCAGCCACTGCTCGTCTGGAGGAGTAGAGAGTTGTCAAGAAGGAAAGGAGTTTGGTGTCTGGGGAGGGATTAAAGGATGGGAAGGGGGGAGGCAGGGAGAAAACGGGGATGTGAGAAAGAGGCATTAGGATGAAGACAAGAAAGTTACACTAAGAGGAATCCATAATATCTCTCTAACACGCACTGACCTGGCCTGTAGAGACGATCACCGGATCCCTCATAATCTCCAGCGAGATAGGACAACGGAAGTCATCCGGAGGCACCACCAGCCGCCCGGACTTCGACCGCAGCGCCGACCCAGTGCCCACGCCGATGCCGCCCCTATCCACCCCATCCTCCGGATTCCCCTCCTCCCCTCCCGACCCATCCCCACTCCCCGACTTCCTCATTCCACCGCTCCCCTCCTCCCTGTCCTCCATCCCTCCGCTTAGACTCACTTTAAGCCGCTCCAGTAACAGTATAATCTTCTCAACCTCCCTTAGCTTCTCATTCTTTCTACTCTCCAACGTAACCCTCCGCTCTGCATCCGCTCTTGAACACACGCTGCCATCCCCCGACCTCCCATCCCCCCCTCTAGAAGAAACTGCACTTTTGGGTGAAACCAGAGACTTGGAAGAAACAGAAGGGCCCTCCTCTTTCCCTTCCCCTCGCCCCCCACTAGACCCTCCCTCCTCCTCTCCTGAAAAACTCATCTCTGCCCCCTTCCTGAGCTCCTCATTTAGTCGCAGCCTCAGCCGTTCCATTGCAGATTCCCCACCCCCACCCCCACCCCCTTTGCCGCTTGCCACTGCTGCATCCGTCTCCTCTATAAGCTGATCCCGCGCTCGTTTTAGCGAGGCTATCTCCTCGAGAACAGCAGGCAGGGAGATCAGCCCTAGCTTGCCCAAAACCGGGTCTAGTAACCCTGCTTCCACGGAACTTAGCGAGGGTAATGACGGAAACCGCCCAGCTGCCCCCCCTGCTCCTCCTGCTGCAGACCCTCCCGCCCCTGCCCCTTCCTCTCCTGTCACACCAGACGGTAACACTGTGATCGTAACACCAGCAGCAGAAGCAGCAACCTTGTCAATCTCCGCACGTGTATGAGGGAAGGAGGGGAAGGCGGAGAGAACGGCCGGGGAGGGAGGAGGAGCAGAGGGGTGCGGCGACTGCGGCACGGCAGACAAGTCAATCATCGGTCCTGACCCGTCAACTTCCCCCTGGGAAGCAGCTGCAGAGGCGGAGACAGCGGCAGAGGCGCCGGGTGCAGCAGTAGCAGCAGCAGCAGCGGCAGCAACAGCAGCAGCGGCGGGGCCGGGGTGACGGGCGGAGCTGTTGAGGGGAGGGCCGCCCAGGCGCGGGTCAGAGAGGATGTGGCGCACGTCCGCATATAGCTGCTCTTCCTGCGCGTCGTCCAATGCTCGGCTGCGCTTCAACTGCACTTGCACGAGTTGCGTCTGAGGAAGGGAGAAAACGGGAGAATGGGGGGAGAGAGGAAGAGAGAGATGAGGTGTACGTCACGTGGGCGTACAGCTGCTCCTCCTGTGCATCGTCCAACGCGCGGCTGTGCTTCAGTTGAACCTGCACCAGCTGGGTCTCGTAAGGTGGAAAGGGGGAAGGGAGTGAAAAGAGAGGGGAGTCGAGGGGCGAGGGGAAGGGACTGCGCCCAACACCCCCCATGCGCCCACCCGACATCCCCCCTAATGCGCCCGGCCCCCCATCCGAAATGGCCATCACGTTCACCCAAGCGCCTCAGTATCCTTCCCTCCCCCCGCCCCCCCCTCCTCCCCCCCGCACATGGCCCCTCTCCCCGCCTCGTCATCCCCCTTCCGCGCACCTGCTCCTGGATTTCTTCCGAGATCGCCATCACGTTCATCGGAAGGTCCGCCAGCGCGCCGCTCAGCTCCAGGTTCACCGCGCGCATGCGCTCCGCCATCGCCTCGCGCTCCATCACCTGCGCGCGCGGAGACGGGGGGAAATGCCGGGGAAGGGGGCATGGGCGGGGGGAAGATGGCGGGGAGGGGGGGGAAGGAGAGAGGGGGAAAGGGCGCGGGAGGGGACACGAAGGGGGAAGCCTTGCTCAGTATAATGTTGAGCGCGCGCATCCGCTCCGCCATTGCCCCACGGCTCATCGTTTGCGCAACGCGTACAGCGCCGGGGAAGCAATGCGGAGAGGTGAGGCGCGAGGGGTGACGGAAACGGTGATAATGGAAGAAATTTCACACGCGAAACATCAGAGAGGCGCGAGGCGTAGGGGCGAGTGAAATGCGGGAGAGCGGGGTGAGCGGGGAGCGCGGGGAGGGCGGGAGCGCGGGGAGGGCGGGAGCGCGGGGAGGGAGGAGATGATGTGGCGGGAAAGCGAGGACGCAGGAAGGTGATGCGATGCGAGGAGCAAGGTGCAACGTTACAACCCTGATTGTTAAGATGAGTAAGGTAAGAAGCGGGGGGGAAGGAAAGCGAGGGGTAACGATCGATAAGGTCGACTGACCATATAGATGGATTAGGGAAAGAAGGGCGGTAGGGAGAAGGGAGGTAAGGCGCACTGACCATCCAGATGCGGCTTCCGCTGCTGCAGTCCACGAGAATGGTCTTGGCGGCGCTAAGCGCGGCCCGCATGCTCTGAAACGCCACCACCGCCGCCGGCGGGAGCGGGCTCTTGACGTCTCTAATCTCCTCGAAGAGCGGCGCGAGCAGCTTGATCCGACGGATGAGAATCTGACACGAGCGCTTGTGGCTGCGCAGGCGATCGCCGAGCGCGGAGATCTCGTTGATGATGGCGAGTAAGGAGCCCACTAATGCCATCGATGATGACGTGGCCATCCGCGTCGACGACATGGTGACTGATTGCAGGATTATTCGGGCACAAATGCTAATGTAGTTGGCTCGAATCTTCTTGTTTCGTTGGCTTAGATGCTTCTGGGGCTGGCTCCGAAGGGGAAACTAAATATCGGGACAGGAACTGACGTGCAGATAAAAAAGGGCCAACCTAGTGTACGGTTGGCTGATAAATTGAGCACATATTCATGAGCAGCGATAGACTGTTCGTGCATCAAGCGAAGGAGGCGGACACACCAGCAGCTTCAGCCGGCTGTTGAGGTGAAGCCATAAATGTGGAAAGCTGGCTTTTGTTCGTAACCGTGCTTGAATCGAAACAGGAAGTCTTGGAAACTCGGCGAGTATGAACCACTTGCTGCGATGCAGAAACGGAGCTCCTAATGGATTTGCCATTGCGAGTTACCACATTGTTTCGAAAAAAAAATCATCGTAGACGCGCCGATGAGGATTTGAGAAGATTGCGAAAGTTGGGCGAACCTGTCATGGTATTGGGTTTCGTGAGCTCGTGAAAATGGATGCAGGCCCACTCGGCAACCTCCGTACCTGCTACAGTGATGCTTCATTCAGATAAGACAACTCAGCTTCGGGATGATGTGAGATTGTCAGAGAAGCCACTGTCAGGCTCTGACGCCGAGTCAACGCGCAAATTTTCGCGATGCTGCGAGCCGAGCTGCCGCCTTTTTGGTTTCGTGGCTGCCAAAGACCCTTGTGCGGTGCTTGAGCTGGAGCTTGCTCGCATCGACGGCCGAGAATTTCGTTTATGAAGTGATTGACCCGATCGGAGGGTGAGTATCAGCTCATTTCATCAGCTCATACTCCATAACATTCAACTCAGTACTGAGGTTGTATTCACTACACCCTATGGGGAAACACCTTTGAGCCCAGCGAATGTACTGTGTGTTTCTTCCTCCCCTCCTGGCGTATCTGCTGGCATGCAGCATCTCCCTCCGTTTTCTAATCCCGTGTTACGAGTGCAATGAATCGAAGTAGCGAGAATTGCACTAAGGTGTCAAACGAGTACAAAATGTGAGCGAATGCATGAGCGAACATTTATACGCGAAACATGCAAACGGTAACGCGGTGCGTGCGAGCTAGCTAGTGCTACGCTGGAGTGAGGCTTGGGCTAGTCCCGAAGCGTAGGCCGACACGGCCATGCCAGCAGTGCGAGGTTTGGTGAAAACAGTGTGCGCGAAGTCGGCGAAGCCCCGTTAGCAGTAACGGGCGAACAACGGCTGTTGCTGTACGCGATGTAGTCGGGCTCCGTAAGGAATGCCGAGAAAATTCCTTACACTACCCCCCCCCCCTCAAGAAGCCCCCTCCGCTACGCGAGTGCGTGTATATCGCGGAATCCCCGGCTCCTCAGGTACACTTGCAGGGCAGGGTGTTTTTCGATGTTGGCCAGGGGCACCCAGCTGTCCTCAGTTGGCGTGCGATCCTTCCAGCGGACGAGGAATTCAATCCTCTTGAGTCCCGTGGGGTGTCGAATCCGATGGCTCAGGATTTTTTCGGGCTCGATGATCGGCTCCGATGCAGGGCGAGTCATGGATGGCGGGCGGTGGCGAGGCAGTTGGCTTGTGGTTGGGATGTAGGGGCGAAGCAAGCTGACATGGAACGAAGGGCTGATGTACCAGTCGGTCGGTAACAGTAGGTGCGCGGTTACTGGCGTGATCATGTGGCTGATTTGGAATGGGCCACAGTAGCGCGGTCGAAGTTTTGGTACGTCGGGCAGTCGCAGATTTTGCGTGTCGAGCAGTACGTAATCCCCTGACTGGTATGTGAATGGGCGGCGGTGGCGGTCAGCGTTGCGCTTAGCGATGGCGTTTGCTTTTTTAATTGCTTCTGCGGCTCTGGTGCGGGCAGCTTGCAGAATTTCGGCGAATTGCTGTGCTCGTGGTGTTGGGTTGTCCGGACTCGGCGTCATGGGCACTGTAGGATTTTGCCCGTAGTTCAGGTAGAAGGGGGACTGCTGCGTCGTCGCTGACGTGGCATTATTGTACGCGAACTCGATCAGCGGCAGCTGCTGCTCCCAAGTCGTGGGGTCGTCGCACGTGGCACGAATCAACTGCTCCATCGTCTGATTCGTCCGCTCCGTTTGACCGTCGGTCTCGGGGTGGTACGACGAACTGAACTGCAGCCTGGTTCCGAACTGCTCCCAGAGGTTCTTCCAGAAGTTGCTGGTGAACTTCGTGTCCCTGTCGCTGATAATCGCTGTTGGTATCCTGTGCAGGCGAACAACGGCTGCGATGAACAGACGAGCGGTCTCCTCGGCTGAGATCGACTTTTTGCACGCAGCGAAGTGCGCCATCTTCGTCAATCTGTCAACGACGACCATCACCGCGTCGTTACCCCCAGGGTTCGAAGGTAACCCTGTGACGAAGTCCATGGTAACCTGCTGCCAGGCGCGCTCGGGCGGTGGTATCGGCTGCAATTGACCCGCCTTCCGCTTCCTTGAGCTCTTCATCACCTGACACGTGGGGCACGAGCCCACGTGCTGCTGTACGTCGGTCAACAGCTCTGGCCAGTAGTAATACCGCTGCAGTTGCTGTCGCGTTTTTTCTACCCCAAAATGTCCCGAGGTAATTCCGTCGTGTGCCTCCTGCAGTAGTAGCTCCCTCAGTAGTGAGTACGCGGGTACCCAGATGCGGTTGGTGCCTGTTTTTACATAATAAACTCCTTTAGCTTCTGCCAGTTGCTGTGAATTTCCGGTCGTGAAGAATGGGTCGGTGCGGTATCCGTGGGTAAATAGGCCTGTTAAAAGTGGGTTGGTCTGGGCGAGTAGGATGGCGTGGAGTTGGGCGGTAGGGCGGGTGAGTGCGTCGGCGATGTTGGATGCGCCTTTCTTGTACGTAACCGTGTAGTGGAAGTTGGACTCGAGGTAGTCCAACCAGCGAATCTGTCGTGGATTGAGATTCGGTTGGGCGCGTAAGTACTGTAGTGATCGGTGGTCTGTCCGTACTGTCACGTCGGCGCCAGTCAGGTAACACCGCCAAACCTTGAACGCGTGCACGATCGCCAACATTTCGCGGTCGTGTATCGGGTAATTGCGTTCGGGCGGGTGCAGCTTGCGGGACTCGTACGCGATTGGCTGGAGGCCGTTCCCGAAATCCTGCAACAGTACTGCTCCCACAGCGATGTCACTGGCGTCAGTGACGAGCTCGAACGGACGGTGTGGATCTGCGATGTGAAGCACGGGCGGTGAGCACAAAATGTTTTTGAGGGCCGAGAAGGCAGCTTGCTCTTTCTCCCCCCACGTGTACTCAACCCCCTTCCTCAGCAGGTCAGTCAACGGGGCAATCAGCTTCGCCATGTCGGGGACGAACCGGCGCACGTAGTTGACGAACCCCAAAAAACTCTGCAACTCGGTCAAGTTAGTCGGCGCGTGCCATGCTTGAATCGTCGCAATTTTCTTCGGGTCTATTTCCACTCCTGCAGCTGAAATAACGTGTCCCAAAAATTCCAGGCGGTCCTGTAAAAACGCACACTTAGACGCTTTGGTCAGTAGGCGGTTCTCACTCAGGATTTTAAAAACTGCGTCGATGTCCTGTAAGTGCTGTGCTCTGTCAGGGCTGTAAATCAGTATGTCGTCCAGGTATACTATGACGCACTTATCTAAGAGCGGGCGGAAAGCTTCGTTCATGGTCATTTGAAAGGTGGCGGGGGCGTTGGTCAGTCCGAAAGGCATGCCGGTGTATTCGAAGGATCCGTAGCGTGTGCGGAATGCGGTCTTAGGGCAGTCGGGCGGGTTGACGCGAATCTGGTGGTAACCCCCTCGGAGGTCGATTTTCGTGAAAACCCGGGCTGTGCGCAGTTGGTCGATCAGTTCGTCGGCTCGCGGGATGGGGTAACGGGATTTGATGGTAACCCTGTTCAGTGCTCTGTAATCTATGCACATGCGAAATCCCCCGTCTTTTTTCGGTGTGAACAGTATCGGTGCTGCGAAGGGCGACGAACTAGGGCGGATGAATTCCTTCGCGAGCAGGTAATCGAGCTGCTTCCTTAGTTCGTCCAGTTCGGGCTAGGTCAGTCGAAACTGTCGCTGTACTGTTGGCTGTGCCCCCGGTTCTAACTCTATCCTGTGGTCGTGCGGTCGCTGAGGTGGCAGTCCCGTTGGTAAATCGTCCGGGAAAATGTCGCTGTACTGCTTCAACAGTGCTGCCAGGTCACTCGGTACGTCGGCCAGCAGTTTCTGTAAATCCCCTCCTTTGTCTGCTGCCTCAGCTTCCCGAATGTCGACCGCGTACACGTCAGCTCCTGCCGCTATGGCGCGTTTCATCGTGATCGCGTTGACACGCACCGACGAAGACTCAGGTGAGCCCCAGCGAGGTAAGGCGATGTTGTTACCGTTCACTCGCACGGTGCAGTCACCCGTCGCCCAGTCGATTCGCGGATTGTGTCGTCGCAACCAATCATGCCCGAGTAAAATATCGGTTCTGTCGAGGGTCGTTGCGAGCATTTCCTGGCTAAACGTGAAGTTACCCCCACATCAAATCCGAACCCGGTCTACGCGTTCCCGTATCGCCAGCGGCGTGCCGTCTACCAGTCGTGCGTCGATCTCAGGTAAACATTTGTCCAGTGGCAGTCGCAGTTTTTGTGCTGTAGCGGTGTTGATGAGGCTGTGGCTGGCTCCTCAGTCTACGAAGATTTTAACTAAGTCCGTCCCGATTTTCCCACTAAGCAGTATGGGGCTGTCTACCGTAGTCCCCTCCTTATTCGGCCGAGTGTGGTCGATTGCGTGAACCGGCACAATCACTCGGTGAGGGTCGGTTGGGTCGGGCGAGCGGCGTGACCTGTCAGTAGAGGGCCCGTCTGCTACTGACTCCCAGCGTTTCCCTGCTGCTTGGTCTGTTTCTGCTGCTCAGCTTCCCCCTTCCCCTTAGCGTTTTCCGGGCATTCGCTCTTGCGATGTCCCGGCCGATTGCACGCAAAGCAGCGCCCTTTGAACGGTGCGGCAGCGGCATTTGCGGCGACGGCACGTATCGTGGCACCCTCGTTCGTCCCACGAGGCCGATGTCCCCAATGGCTGCTTCCGTAGGACCCCGGTCTCGGTCGGCGGAAGAAATCAAGTTTCTCCGCCATAGCGAGAATTTCTTGAAAGTCGGTGACGCCGCGAAGCTGGATTTCCTGAGCGATGTCCTGCTTCAGGCCGCCGATGTAGCGGTCGATGCGCTCGCTCTCGTGCATATATCCCACCTGCTCGCATAGCGCCAGAAATCCGCTCGTGTAGTCTTGGACGGAACCGAGTTGGCGCCAAGTGCGGAGCTTCTGTCGCGCCGCGATCGAAGCCGCGATTGGCTCGAAACGAGCGCGTAAACCTGCGCACCACGCGTCCCACGTGCGATACTGGGGCACCTCCACGAAACGGCGCCCAGGGTCCGGTTTGTCCTTCCCGTGTCGGTAGAGTCGCGTAGTCCACCGGCTTCGTGACGATGACGCGCCACCAGTCCATGGCGGGTCCTCGCAGCAACGACACGGCGTAGCGAATCTTCGCCGTATCCTCCGAGACGTAGTTCGCGTCGAAGAAGACGTTCAACGTGAAGAGCCACGCCTGAACGGTAGGACCACCCCGCTGACTTGGGTCAAAGCATGGCGGACGCTGCGGCTTTAGCGGCATCGGCGACGGAAGAGTTGATTCGCCGGCCGGCACTGAAATCGTGACTCGAGGTTGAGTCCTGGCCGCATTCGTCGCGTCGGGGTGTGTCGTGCCGTGGTCGTCGTCTCCGTCATGGCGGACGACGCCATCACTTGCGGCGCTCGCGGGTTGCCCCACACTTCCGTGCTGTGATGTCTGTGGTGCGGGCTGAATCGGAGTGCCAGGTGCTTGGGATTGTGCTCGTGTGAGGTCGTTTTGCAGGGACGAGCGTTCTGCCGTCAGCGTCGCAATTTCCTCGGCGCTCTCGCGGATTTGTCGCAGCAGATCGTTCAAGTGCTCCTGCGTGAGAGTCGTGACGTCGATATGTTCAGCCATTTCGAAGGGCGTCGGCTCGTCTTAGTCTAGGCGCAGTCGTGGCTGCACGCGTTTACGAGAGAACGCGAGGACAGCGGCTCCTAGGTGCTAAGGTACGTGAGTCCCTTCGAGTGAGAAATCAAAAGTTGATTTCCTGAGGTGCGGAGATGCGCGGTCCGAAAGAAAGGGGCTCTGAATACCAAGTGTTACGGGTGCAATGAATCGAAGTAGCGAGAATTGCACTAAGGTGTCAAACGAGTACAAAATGTGAGCGAAGGCATGAGCGAACATTTATACGCGAAACATGCAAACGGTAACGCGGTGCGTGCGAGCTAGCTAGTGCTACGCTGGAGTGAGGCTTGGGCTAGTCCCGAAGCGTAGGCCGACACGGCCATGCCAGCAGTGCGAGGTTTGGTGAAAACAGTGTGCGCGAAGTCGGCGAAGCCCCGTTAGCAGTAACGGGCGAACAACGGCTGTTGCTGTACGCGATGTAGTCGGGCTCCGTAAGGAATGCCGAGAAAATTCCTTACATCCCGCCAAGACTCGGCACCTAACGGGTTTCTCTTCAACATGACGAATCGGTATAATCCGTACAGGTGGAAAACTGGAATGACACTCACAGCGTAGGCTTTGTTTTCAAGAATCGTATGTCATTAGGTAAGCAATTCGCGTGTCTACTTTTATGTAGCTAATTGCTCGCCTCATGGGCAGGGAAGCCCCAGGAGCTCAACCCAGCGGCGCCGGCTTTCCCGGCGCATCGTCCGGAAGCAGGCTTCCAAAGAAGGAAGAACCGCAACGCGACGACGAAACTAGCGACGAGAACAACGACGAGGGAGACGACGACGAGGAAGAGTGGACTCACGAGGACGACAAGGGACGCGAGATGCAATTCTCGCGGATTCTCGAGGGCGTAGTGTTTGCGATTAGCGGAGTGGCGAATCCGGAGCGCGCCGAGCTGCGCGGGAAGGCGATGGAGATGGGCGCGCGGTACCGGCCGGACTGGACGCCGGATTGCACCCTGCTCGTCGCCGCGTTTCCCGGCACGCCGAAAGTCAGATCCGTGACTGCCGATGACGGCACGATTGTTTATAAGGTTCGCGCGTTTGAGCGAGGGGTAGCTTGGGAGTCGAGAGGGTAGCGTATGAGTCGCTTTTGAGATTCTCAAACGAGACGATGGACAGCTGTTGGCGGACTGAGCATTCCGTGCGCCCATCTTTCCTTTCATTCCACATCCAACGCTGATACCCTCGTCTCTCTCGCTCCCCCTCTCCCTCTCTGTCCATGCCCGTGCCTGTCCACACGTGTGTGACTATAGAGGTGGGTGGAGCAGTGCTACAGTAATCGCCGCCTTATGAGCATCTCCCCCCACCTCTTGCATCTCGGGCGGCCGTGGCGCCAAGGCGGGCCGGCAGACAGGGACGTGGAGGACGGCGGCGGGCGGCGCAGACGAATCGTGCCGGCCAGAGATCCGGGGCAAAGGGGGAGGGATGGGGGGAGGGGGCGGGGAGGGCGAGGGGACACGGGGAGAGCTGGGGGGAGGGGAGACGGGCAGGGGGGTGACAGGTTGGGAGGTCATGATACGGGAATGGGGCGTGGGGGAACGCAACAAGAAAGAGAAGGAGCAGGGGGGGGAACAGGGGGACAGGCGGAGGCGGGGGTGGGGGAGGGGGAGGAGGAGGAAGAACAGAAGCCCAAAAGGCGGAGGCTGCTCATTCCCCCACTGACTGGGGGCGGAGACATGGGGGGAGGGAACGGGGGGAAGCTATCGGGGGAGGAGCTAGTGGCGCAGTGGGTGGCGGGGGACATGGTTCACGTGAGGGCGTTTTTAGAGGAGCAGGAGGAGCAGCCTCCCGAGGGGGAGGTGGATAGAGTGGCGAGAGAAGGCATGCTGGCGTGCTTTGATGACGCCATTGCTGGCGTGGAGCAAGGGCAGGTGAGATTTCTCTCATGCGTTTTTCTCTCCTGTGCTTTCAGCAGCTATTGCCTCGTGGCTCGTCATGCCGCGTATGCTCACTCACTTCCCGCACTGCTACTTTCCCCACATCCAGACAGTCTCCTACAGCCCGCCTCACCTCCTTCTCCCTCTTGTATCCCCCCCCCCCCCCCCTCCCCCCCATCCCATTCCAGGCGCTCGCAGCATCGATTGCCTCGTGGCCTGTCGTGCCACGTGTGCTGGACCCCCAAACCTCTGTCTCCGCCCCTCCGCACCTCCTCCCCTCCTCGCTTCCACCGCTGCCGATCTCCCTGGGGTGTGGGGGGGCGGGGGGAGGGGAGTGCCTGCGGGTGCTAAGGCAGTGGAGGGGGATGTATGAGCGGGAGCTGGGGAGAATGGGGGAGAGGGGGAAGGGGGAGGGGGGAGAAGGGAGTGGGGGAAGTATAGGGGGAGGGGGAGGGATCTCGGTTGGTGGGGCAGTGGGAGGAGAGAGGGGCGAGGGAAGTGGAGGGGCAAGAGATGGGGATGGAATGGCAGGAGGGACTGGTAGGGAAGGGGATGGGCGTGTTGGTAATGGTGGTGTTGGCGACACTACGGTTGGAAATGATGGTGCTGCTGCGGGTGGCAATGTGGGCAGTGGGAGCAGAATTGGTGCTGCTGGCCCCGCACCAGGAGAGGGAGAGAGGAATCTAGACAAGGGAGATGGTCGTAGTGGTAACCCTATCGATGACTACGAAACTGACAGCTGCTGAGAGTGGGGAGCGGGTGCGGGTGCGACAAACTGAGAGTAACAGGAGAAATTGAGAGGAAGGGAGATGGTCGCAGCGGTAACCCTATCGATGATTACAACACTGACAGCTGCTCTGAAGGGGGAGCGGGGAGGGTGTTGCAAAGTGAGGGTGACAGCTGTTTGCAGTTCAGGCTGATTATTGGAACGGGGACTAGTGTCTGATGTGAATATTTTCTAATACAGTAATGTACAGCGGTGAGCTATTGCAAATTCGGATTCCTTTGTACATAAAAGTGTTTCAAAAACAGTATTACCTCTTCCCGTCAATTCACATTCATTATCGCACTTCACATTCCTGTGACGAAGAATGATGTATCGAAGAGCAGTGCGAAGTAGCAATTAGTAGCATATGTGCCACACTGAAGTAGAAGCTGCCGCGATGCGGTATGGCACGATCCGAACTCGTCCGAGCTTTTTGAATTGGTTTAGTTCGTCGCCTTAATCTCCTCTGACATGGCCCCTTGCCGCGCTCGCCAGTGTAAAGCAGTTCCGGAGTTTTTCTGACACGTCGCAGAACTCGTCGTTCAGGAGTTACAGCGTGAACAAACTTCGCGTGGTTGTCTGCCATGTGTCACTTAAGACCTTTCCGTTTTCCCCATGAACGATTGTGAGCATTCATCGACGCTGTCAGTCTGAGGAGTTCAATTTAGCGGGTTTCACGCGGCTATCGCTCCTTCTGCCGCCATGGCTACTGCGCGCCAGTATTTCCCGCCGCAGTCGCAGCGCCAGCCGCAGTTCTGGCGGCCGGGAGCGGCGCGTCCGGGCGAGTCGCTCGCGTCTCGGGCGTCGCTAGCGGTGGACGCGGACGGCGCGGATGCTGACGTGTCAATAGCCTCGCTGGCAAGGTGCGACAGTCACCCCGCTCGTAGCCCCTTCCTTCTCGCCGTACTTTGTTCCGTTAGCGCGGGTAGGTCGTGAAAGGCTTGCAGCGCTCTAGTTCCAGAGGGTGGGAGGGTATCAGTCTCTCTGATTCATTCTCCTAAGGCGCCTTGATAGGAGGGGATCGTCTCTCTGATTGATTCTTGATTCTCTTTAGGCGCCTTGATAGGAGGGGATCGTCTCTCTGATTGATTCTTGATTCTCTTTAGGCGCCTTGATAGGAGGGGATCGTCTCTCTGATTGATTCTTGATTCTCTTTAGGCGCCTTGATAGGAGGGGATCGTCTCTCTGATTGATTCTTGATTCTCTTTAGGCGCCTTGATAGGAGGGGATCGTCTCTCTGATTGATTCTTGATTCTCTTTAGGCGCCTTGATAGGAGGGGATCGTCTCTCTGATTGATTCTTGATTCTCTTTAGGCGCCTTGATAGGAGGGGATCGTCTCTCTGATTGATTCTTGATTCTCTTTAGGCGCCTTGATAGGAGGGGATCGTCTCTCTGATTGATTCTTGATTCTCTTTAGGCGCCTTGATAGGAGGGGATCGTCTCTCTGATTGATTCTTGATTCTCTTTAGGCGCCTTGATAGGAGGGGATCGTCTCTCTGATTGATTCTTGATTCTCTTTAGGCGCCTTGATAGGAGGGGATCGTCTCTCTGATTGATTCTTGATTCTCTTTAGGCGCCTTGATAGGAGGGGATCGTCTCTCTGATTGATTCTTGATTCTCTTTAGGCGCCTTGATAGGAGGGGATCGTCTCTCTGATTGATTCTTGATTCTCTTTAGGCGCCTTGATAGGAGGGGATCGTCTCTCTGATTGATTCTTGATTCTCTTTAGGCGCCTTGATAGGAGGGGATCGTCTCTCTGATTGATTCTTGATTCTCTTTAGGCGCCTTGATAGGAGGGGATCGTCTCTCTGATTGATTCTTGATTCTCTTTAGGCGCCTTGATAGGAGGGGATCGTCTCTCTGATTGATTCTTGATTCTCTTTAGGCGCCTTGATAGGAGGGGATCGTCTCTCTGATTGATTCTTGATTCTCTTTAGGCGCCTTGATAGGAGGGGATCGTCTCTCTGATTGATTCTTGATTCTCTTTAGGCGCCTTGATAGGAGGGGATCGTCTCTCTGATTGATTCTTGATTCTCTTTAGGCGCCTTGATAGGAGGGGATCGTCTCTCTGATTGATTCTTGATTCTCTTTAGGCGCCTTGATAGGAGGGGATCGTCTCTCTGATTGATTCTTGATTCTCTTTAGGCGCCTTGATAGGAGGGGATCGTCTCTCTGATTGATTCTTGATTCTCTTTAGGCGCCTTGATAGGAGGGGATCGTCTCTCTGATTGATTCTTGATTCTCTTTAGGCGCCTTGATAGGAGGGGATCGTCTCTCTGATTGATTCTTGATTCTCTTTAGGCGCCTTGATAGGAGGGGATCGTCTCTCTGATTGATTCTTGATTCTCTTTAGGCGCCTTGATAGGAGGGGATCGTCTCTCTGATTGATTCTTGATTCTCTTTAGGCGCCTTGATAGGAGGGGATCGTCTCTCTGATTGATTCTTGATTCTCTTTAGGCGCCTTGATAGGAGGGGATCGTCTCTCTGATTGATTCTTGATTCTCTTTAGGCGCCTTGATAGGAGGGGATCGTCTCTCTGATTGATTCTTGATTCTCTTTAGGCGCCTTGATAGGAGGGGATCGTCTCTCTGATTGATTCTTGATTCTCTTTAGGCGCCTTGATAGGAGGGGATCGTCTCTCTGATTGATTCTTGATTCTCTTTAGGCGCCTTGATAGGAGGGGATCGTCTCTCTGATTGATTCTTGATTCTCTTTAGGCGCCTTGATAGGAGGGGATCGTCTCTCTGATTGATTCTTGATTCTCTTTAGGCGCCTTGATAGGAGGGGATCGTCTCTCTGATTGATTCTTGATTCTCTTTAGGCGCCTTGATAGGAGGGGATCGTCTCTCTGATTGATTCTTGATTCTCTTTAGGCGCCTTGATAGGAGGGGATCGTCTCTCTGATTGATTCTTGATTCTCTTTAGGCGCCTTGATAGGAGGGGATCGTCTCTCTGATTGATTCTTGATTCTCTTTAGGCGCCTTGATAGGAGGGGATCGTCTCTCTGATTGATTCTTGATTCTCTTTAGGCGCCTTGATAGGAGGGGATCGTCTCTCTGATTGATTCTTGATTCTCTTTAGGCGCCTTGATAGGAGGGGATCGTCTCTCTGATTGATTCTTGATTCTCTTTAGGCGCCTTGATAGGAGGGGATCGTCTCTCTGATTGATTCTTGATTCTCTTTAGGCGCCTTGATAGGAGGGGATCGTCTCTCTGATTGATTCTTGATTCTCTTTAGGCGCCTTGATAGGAGGGGATCGTCTCTCTGATTGATTCTTGATTCTCTTTAGGCGCCTTGATAGGAGGGGATCGTCTCTCTGATTGATTCTTGATTCTCTTTAGGCGCCTTGATAGGAGGGGATCGTCTCTCTGATTGATTCTTGATTCTCTTTAGGCGCCTTGATAGGAGGGGATCGTCTCTCTGATTGATTCTTGATTCTCTTTAGGCGCCTTGATAGGAGGGGATCGTCTCTCTGATTGATTCTTGATTCTCTTTAGGCGCCTTGATAGGAGGGGATCGTCTCTCTGATTGATTCTTGATTCTCTTTAGGCGCCTTGATAGGAGGGGATCGTCTCTCTGATTGATTCTTGATTCTCTTTAGGCGCCTTGATAGGAGGGGATCGTCTCTCTGATTGATTCTTGATTCTCTTTAGGCGCCTTGATAGGAGGGGATCGTCTCTCTGATTGATTCTTGATTCTCTTTAGGCGCCTTGATAGGAGGGGATCGTCTCTCTGATTGATTCTTGATTCTCTTTAGGCGCCTTGATAGGAGGGGATCGTCTCTCTGATTGATTCTTGATTCTCTTTAGGCGCCTTGATAGGAGGGGATCGTCTCTCTGATTGATTCTTGATTCTCTTTAGGCGCCTTGATAGGAGGGGATCGTCTCTCTGATTGATTCTTGATTCTCTTTAGGCGCCTTGATAGGAGGGGATCGTCTCTCTGATTGATTCTTGATTCTCTTTAGGCGCCTTGATAGGAGGGGATCGTCTCTCTGATTGATTCTTGATTCTCTTTAGGCGCCTTGATAGGAGGGGATCGTCTCTCTGATTGATTCTTGATTCTCTTTAGGCGCCTTGATAGGAGGGGATCGTCTCTCTGATTGATTCTTGATTCTCTTTAGGCGCCTTGATAGGAGGGGATCGTCTCTCTGATTGATTCTTGATTCTCTTTAGGCGCCTTGATAGGAGGGGATCGTCTCTCTGATTGATTCTTGATTCTCTTTAGGCTCCTTGATAGGAGGGGATCGTCTCTCTGATTGATTCTTGATTCTCTTTAGGCGCCTTGATAGGAGGGGATCGTCTCTCTGATTGATTCTTGATTCTCTTTAGGCGCCTTGATAGGAGGGGATCGTCTCTCTGATTGATTCTTGATTCTCTTTAGGCGCCTTGATAGGAGGGGATCGTCTCTCTGATTGATTCTTGATTCTCTTTAGGCGCCTTGATAGGAGGGGATCGTCTCTCTGATTGATTCTTGATTCTCTTTAGGCGCCTTGATAGGAGGGGATCGTCTCTCTGATTGATTCTTGATTCTCTTTAGGCGCCTTGATAGGAGGGGATCGTCTCTCTGATTGATTCTTGATTCTCTTTAGGCGCCTTGATAGGAGGGGATCGTCTCTCTGATTGATTCTTGATTCTCTTTAGGCGCCTTGATAGGAGGGGATCGTCTCTCTGATTGATTCTTGATTCTCTTTAGGCGCCTTGATAGGAGGGGATCGTCTCTCTGATTGATTCTTGATTCTCTTTAGGCGCCTTGATAGGAGGGGATCGTCTCTCTGATTGATTCTTGATTCTCTTTAGGCGCCTTGATAGGAGGGGATCGTCTCTCTGATTGATTCTTGATTCTCTTTAGGCGCCTTGATAGGAGGGGATCGTCTCTCTGATTGATTCTTGATTCTCTTTAGGCGCCTTGATAGGAGGGGATCGTCTCTCTGATTGATTCTTGATTCTCTTTAGGCTCCTTGATAGGAGGGGATCGTCTC